TATGTGCCACATAATTATCCTTAAAATACGTCAGCAAAGGGCCTCCCAAGTAACTTAACAGGTAAAGACTACACTTACACTCTGCACACAGGTTGGGTCAGTGGTCATGGGTTTGAGTCTGGATCATGTTACTGGGATTCCCGATGCTGCAGCACATAACTGACTGAGCACTACCAGTTATACAGTGGGATTAGTCGACAAGGGCACACTTAGCTCTCGTGTACTGTTACAGGCTACCAGTGCAGTCAGGGAGGGGCACCTCTCCACCAATCAGGAACTGTGGATCTAAGGTGGGCAGGTCAGAAGAGTCTGGCTTCACTTCCTCTTTGTCCCCTGTGTGCGGTCACAGGGTCTGTGGCTGTGAGTCGAGACATGAAAAGCACACAAATGGCCAGAAAGCCAGGAAAGCTCCCTTCACCATTACGCATAAGGGCTAATTTTAAGGTATTACTTTTCCTGAGAAAAATATAGTAAACGTTCTGTACCGTAGCCTTATATTGATAGACTTTGTAATATTTTATTCCATATCTTTTACAATATGAAGAGACAACTATAAAAAAATAGAAAGCATGTGTCTTTAAACAACTGTAAATTTCCAAGTACCCAAAGTTTATTAATCAAACAATATTCTATCCTTTCCCATTTACATAGCTTTCCTACAGATGTAAACACATTAATCCTCAATCCAGAAGCTGTAAGAAAGTCTATCAGTGATACAACCCCAAAATTGTTGTATGTAAGCCCTGTGGTTAGCTTATGTTTTTTATGTCTACTGGTTGGTATTATCCATGCTCCCTAAATTTTAAATGTCAAAGGTGTGAAGGTAAAGAAATACATAATCAAAAAATGTGAAACTGAGTTATTTCCAGTTTTTCTGCTTCATGACAATACCATTCAGTGTCATTTCCTCTCAGCTGTTGTGGTAATGTTTTTTCTCCCTCTCTGGTCACATTGGGTACTGTCCAGACAGACATGCAATTAAAAAGAACCACTTAAAATAAATGCAACATGCTACTACGCATATTTTATGCCATCTCAACATTTAAATTAAATAAAAGAACAACCAAAACCACGGGCATCCTATTTGATTTCTAACTGTGATGTACAGAACTCTTTTCACTAGCATTTACTATTAAAATATTATAACAGACATTAAATTAATTTGCAAATTCCTAGTTCTTTCCTGAACAAAAAAAAAACATTGAATTACAGTGTTTTACTTTTGACTGTTCATGCTACAAATAAAGGTTATGTTTAGGATGCAAAAATGTTTTTGTTGACAGCTTACAATTATTGAGTGGATTGGAAAAATGTGTGGAGCATTTTGTAAAACATGGGTTTTAAGGAACACAAAACAGCCCAACTTTTAACAGCCTCCATAGACTACAAAAATGAGAACCCCACCTTAAGCACAAACCTTTATACAGTATAACATTCCTTAACTCTCTTTTTACTGCTAATCATATATTCACTCAGTCACAATCTTTACTGCATTTTAACATTTTACTTATTCACTGTTTGAATATTTAATATACTCACATTAACATTTAATATGTATAAATGACACACAAATGTTTAAAAATATATACTATCTTCTTTGCATCCACTGTTGAAAGTAGGATGGGTAAAGAATTACTGCATGGGATCCCGAATTGTAAGAACAGCTTTAAATACACTTCAAGTAAAACAGTGTTCATAAAAAAACATGTATCTCAAAGAAGGACAATAAATCTTGTCTCTCAGACCCTGTGCACACTATTTCTAGTGCTCAAGGTCACACAACTTCAGTGGCTGTGCATCTCTAAATGACAAATGGCTTGCCTGCATCCTAGAGCTGAGAACAATGCAGTCTTAGCACAAGGTGCAATACCAGCATTCACGTACAATAGCAAATTCTGTTTCTTTAAGCTCTGATTATATGAGGCACCAGTACTAGGGACCATACATTTTCACAGGGCCATGAATCATTCAGTTATCAGCCAGCATTGTTTTTAAATGAATACATAAATGGGAAACAGTTTACTTTTCTGTGCTGTTCAAATCACAACACCACAAGGCATTACAGTGCACAATTATTTGGATTAGCAAAGAAAAGATGAAGCATATTGCACAACGGGATAACAGGGATCTTAGCTTAACCATCCCAAAGAAAGAAGACATGGCACCAAATTACGGTCAAGAACAGTTTTAATGAATTTGGGCAGACAAAACTGAATGATAATGGAGATAAATTGAAATTAAAGAGGAGGCTGGGTTGCTATACATTGCATACTGTGGATAGATGCTTGGCTGAACATTTCCTAATACAGCCACTACCACCGACACCACAGTAACCCCAGCTACCACATAACGCATGGTTTTGCATTCTCCACTCCGCAAAGAAGAGTGCCCCCTACTGGTCCACTGGTCCACCTCGTTCAGTAACACCATAATTTTTGTTCATTTTTAATTCACTGGGCATTGAACAAGCCTAGCCCTGCTCTGCTTCCGAGATTTGTCAGGATATGCCACCTCCTAAAATATATGCATTTTCAGAGATGTTAAAAGAAAGTGGCTGTGCTTATTAAAAACTGACACATCGTTTCAGGCAAGGCAATAACTGAAATTGTGCAGGAAACAACAGAATTTTTAAAAACGATGCTTTTGAAAAAATACTTAAGCTATAGTAGGACATACACCATTTTGAAAGTGAATTTTCTAAGAATCTTTTCTGACCACTGCAATTAATCTCATCACTTTGCCTGTCACCAGTCTTGCAATCAGTCCATCAAATTGACAGGTGGAGATATTTCCACCTTAAACTGCATACTACTACTTACCATCTCATTATCTCCTTCGTAAACTACATCACGTATTATTTTAAAGACCCGTGCGTTTTACTTATTCATTTATTTATAATAATAACCTATGAAAGTAAACGTGTATTCAAAGTACAGCACAATGAATATCGTGGTAACAAAAATCCGTTTTAAAAAATAAAGAAATCTTTACGAACATAAATAAAGAAGGAAGCAATCAAGCGTCGATTCTCTGTGGCTTTAACCCACATCTGATCCGCCGGCCTTCTCAGACATTTTCACAGCCCAGTCACTACAACACGCGACGCCCGTGCGTTGGTTGCCAGATTAATAAGGTTAAACAAGCGAGGAAAGCAAACGCAAGGCAGAGTTTGTGAGGCAGAACAATGGGGAATGCACTGACTACCCTACAATGGCATTCCAGCAGTGCAGTCAGTTCGCTTCCTCTAACGCCGCTTTGTCCTTTTTTTATCACAGCAAAGTCCTCTAACAGATTTCGTGGTCAGACTTCGCTAAAACAGTTCTCCGGGAAGCGCGCTCTGAATGATCTCATTTGTTACCAATTAACTTCACGCCCTGGGCTACGTTTGTCAGCAAGGCACGATTCCTGGCAATATACCGAAAATGGCAAATCCTGATAATCTCCAATACACTGAAAAAAATCTTTTTCTTCCCACTGTGAAAATGATACCCTCGACGCACGCAGTCTGTACAAATACAGCATTAGTTAAGACACGTTTAATATAAATCATTATTCTATAATGTTAAATCTTGACAGCGGGCGTGAAGTACAATTCTTCTTATTATTAAACAGTCACAGAATCCCACATTAAAGTCTGTCAAAACAACATTAGCCATCCAGGCATATTTGCCTTTTATATTATATAAGTAACATTTTCCAGTGGAGATATATGAGAGAAATAGATAAGTTGCTAAAGTTATTTAACAAAGAATAAAAAACTAGCAGCTAACACATGAAATTAATGTTAAAATTTAATTCGACAGATTCCGAATAGTGTTTTCTGAATGTATCGCATAAAGCAGCATTTTAAGATTTTGGGGGGTATTTATATGAGCCATAATATTTCGCATGGAATAAATTAATTTAAAATATATTAATTTCTAATTACGGATTATTGAACTGTAGCGTTAAAAGGCCCTCTGAAAGCAAGGCACGTGAGATTCATTTAAATGATAATCCTATTTTTGCTGGTATGCAATGCAGAGTTTTGAACATAAAGTATTTCAGATTTCAAATCTGAAAATTCAAACATTTCATACACTTAAAATCACTATAAAGCTTTCGAGCATGGATATGTTGAATAGTTATGGATGAATCTTAATAACAATATAAATCAGCACGCTTTATAAAAAAACTTCGAATCGCAGATTTTAAGCAGCAATTTTCTATCCTGGTGCTAGTGTCTCAGCGGACAAATGGCACCTGTAATTTAAACGGCTATTTGTAAACACTGTGTTAGTAAGACACCATAAATGTTATATAAACCGTATTTACTATTGATCGAACCGAAGGAATTATGTAGTGAAATCCAACGCGATTTGCGCGGCCGTCGTAATTATTTACACGTATAGTCTGTTTTTCAACAGCCTCTCGCTCCCAATACTTGAGAGTGGTTTGATCTAGCTCTGGAAATATGACAGCCTGACAGCACCTGGGCGATTTGCTCTTTCCAATATCAATAAATCTCTGCTCCTCACTGACGGCGCCGAGTGATGCGGTTGGTTTTCTGTACAGAGTGCGATAAATGTGTAATAACCGCAAAATTTTGCCAAACCTCTACGCAGCATATATGTAAATTGCAACGAAATCACATGGGCGCGTAATCTAAGAGTTCACAAAATCCTTTAGATACGGCAAATCCAACTTGAAAATATAAAGGTGCTGGAGAGTTGGATATTATACAGCAAAACCGGTGATGGTCCTTTAAAGTCTTACACCCACTAGGGCAAAAATTGAAAAAAAAAAACTCCTGTTGAGATTTCAAGGACAGCTGACAGACTTTTCATGGAACAAAATACCGATGTCTGTCAATGAAAAGTGTGAGAAAGGAGTTAATACAGTTTAAATCTAATACAAAAAATGCAGTCCATTCATTATAATGACCTTATATTCCAAAATGTGGGGGGAAAAGATTCCAATTTACAATAAAAAGTTGTGCAATTTATTTCAATGTGGCTTACCTTGCTCGAAAAGGGTCCCGGGATGAGTAATTTCAGCGCCTGTCTTTTTAGCTCCACCAGCCTGGCGTTACAGTTCTCACACCAGATTCCGCGATCCGAGCCGGGAGAGCTCCCGCTGCCGGATCCTGGAGATCCAGTCCCGAAGCCGGGAGATCCGCCAAGTGATCCAGGTGAGCCTGTCCCGATTCCCGGAGACGTTGGGCCGGGGGAGCCGGAGAAGGATCCCGGGGAAGAAGTGCCGGATCCCGGAGACGGGGTTCCGGAGGAACCGGGGACAGACCCAGCTCCCTCGGGGGTGGGGCGGCTGCCGGTCCGGGACTCCTCGTAGGCTTTTCTGTACCAGGTCTCCGGAGAAAAGGACGCGGATTTTGTCGGGGAGCAAGCATCTGTCATCTGTAAAGAATACAGCACATATTACTTTAAAGACCAAGAAAATACAAAAAAAATCGCTTATTCAGTACGACTATCTACTAATTTCAGCAGCCCACTACAAACTAAAAATGAGTCAATATGAAAATGGAACACAACACATCCAGAAACAAATTCGGTTTGAGTGGTAAACACGATGAATGTACACAATAAACACTATGCAACCAAAAATGCACCACGTGTGTGGCTTACAATTTTAGAACCTAATTGCAAACGAAACGGGATTTTTCACTTTCAGAACATTTAAAATAAGACTGCTCTTAAAGTGGAGCTTATAAACGGTGGCTCACGGTGTTCGTAATACGTGCTCATCAATTAGAATAAAAGGTATGCCGAATGTACCTGTTTCGTAATGTAAATTCTTCTTTTGGAATTCCTATACAATTCCTATGGAGTACATATATGCGTGCAAATGGGATAGATGCTGCTTTCTAATTACATGCTCGGCTTAACATTCAGAAACGAATTATTATGCACATTAGAGTGTCAAACATACCCCATATTTGCGGTTTCTGGTTGCCACAGAAGACGACCTGTCTTTATTTCCAGCTACAGATGTCATGTTGAAGGTTAGAGGTGTTTTTATTTCTTTCCCTTTAACATCCAGTTAATAGATATCAGTGAACCTCGAATCCTCCGTTCAGCGCAGAATCATGAAGAAATGCGGTGAAAAATCTGTATCCAACAACACTCCCCAATAAAAAAACAGCAAAGTTAAATTCCACCTCCAACAAATGAGAGAGTTCACAGCATTTCCATTGCTATATCAGATCCCTTTATTTGTCGCCTCCGTTGACTTTGAATTCCAGACGTGCATCAGTGACCCACATCGTAGAATGAAAAGATCCCTGCCCAAATTAAATCCCCATTCGCCAAACACTGAAGGTGTGCTGCGACAGAGCGCTGTTGCGGGCAGCCAGTCTGCGGCGCAAACTCTTCCAGCTGGCAGCGTCCCCTGCGCTCTGTAACTTGTTACTTTCAGGAGGCTTTGCAAGTCTCTTGCAAGAACCCCTAAAACTGCAGGAACTGCCCGTGGGCGGGACCCGCCATTCCGTGTCAGCCAGTAGAAGTCTTCATATTCAATGAGTGACACACCGGAGTCAAATTCTCCCTATATAAACCTCTGGGCGCTTCTCGATTTTGCGAACGTTGTAGCTGAGGGTTGAGATTTACATGTAAAACCAGAGCAGAGGGGCTTTGTACTTCAATTTTCTGCTTCGTGGTGATATGTTCATTTTTGAGAGTTGACAGAATGAAATGAAATGAGAACGATTAACGAAGATGGTAGAATGGTAGAAAATCCCTTTATGTGATCGCCCCGCTAGCGTGTCAAATAAATGATATAGTACGTCTTTATATGAACACGAAAAAGAAAAAAAAACTCAAATCATACAGGAAACAAATATTTGTACGCCAGTTATAGCTTTGTCTTGTTTACAGCACTTACTATGGCCTTGTATAAGGTTAACCACGGTGTTCAACATTATTTTGAATTTACTGACATACAGCATCGTTTGCAACGCTGAAGTTCAGTTAGTTGTCACGATAAACCATTAGCTAGTATGAAAGTAAATGTTAAGGAATGCTAGTTAAGTAAAACAAAGAATATCACAGTTATTTTATTACACCAGTCTATAAAACGATTATAATTAGTATTCTGGTGTATATTAATTGGTTGAAGCAAACAATTTGGTAAAAATGATCTATTTTTGAGAATAAATCGTAAATTTACCGTGAAATCCGAATATTCGTTACACTGCAATACTGAAACCCAAAGAGACACTAGAATTAGATTATCGAAAACATTACAATGTCTCATTAAGCACTGGTACAACAGTGGAAAAGATACCTTTTAAGAAAACTTCTATAAAAATCATACTGCCACAGTAAATGTCTCTTTTTTCTCTTGCGCAGTGGAGCAGCTCCCCCTGCTGTTAAACAGTGGAATCTGCACATCAGGAGTGTCTGCCGAAATGACTGCATTACTGTCCCCAACCGCAGCAGGTGCTTTGAACATTATCAGATTTGTTTGATTTCATCCTCTTTCCATGACATCCTCTCACAAATGACTTGTACAGTATGTCCATGGTGTTCTAGCTTTGTTGTACAATCAATAAATTTCCAGCCTAAAAATACACATTTTTTGAAGGCTCCTCTTCCAAAACAGCAGCCATATTGGAGAAATATCTATAGGGAACACATTTCTGCTCCCAGCAGCCCATTCAATACCCCAGTCTGAAGCAGGCAAGGAATGTTTTAAGAAAACATAAAAAGGAGAGAAAATGGAAGATTTTTCATAATGAAATCTTCATTTTCTTGCTTCAGGTAGGTTTCCTAGCTCAACCAAGTTGGTCTATTCAGACAACCTCATACTTTCACTGCTGTTCTTACATCCAAACCCACAACCTGCGTTCTATTGCACATCTAGAAATTTCATGTCATTTCATGACTTCAGGTGCTGCAAAGTGCTAAAGTCCTCCGCACCGAGCTCTCTATGATCTGGGCATTGAAGAAACACTGAATCTGACTTTTCATTTTCATTGGTTCAGTGCTTAGTCATTAAGTGAACCTTAATGACTAAGCACTCTCCTATTCTGAAAAACCAACTGCACCCTACAAAACTATTTATTACGGGTGCGTGGGTGCTACAGGTGAATAGATTTAGAGTAAAAACCTGTAAAAACCTGTATGAAACAGCTTTTAGAAATGTAATTATAATGTTTAGCCTTTTCCAGTTACTGTATGTGGGATCTTTAATTTCATTCTCTAAGTTTTGTATATACCCCTGAGCTAAAGAGTGTTGAAGCTGTGTATTCGTCTAGAAAAGCTACTTTTCACTACCAGCAGTCAGGAAGGGGGATGCAAGAGGGAGCGTGAGTCTGAGAATGTGCAGGAGAGCTTTTTGTGTTCACATCCCCCCAATTAATAACCCGAAGAACTGACGAAAGGACATTAGATTTACTGTCAAAAACAAAATAGTTGACCTTCCTGTGTGAACTATGCAAATAAGGAAATCTGCGGTGTTATCATGGTTTATAATATACACCCATATATTTTCTATCCACTTCCTATACAGTGTTGCAGGGGAAGTGGAGCTTATCCCAGCAAACAACTGTAACGAACAGTTCTTTCCGGACCCTATGTGGACGACACGATCCAGGGAAAAGTGAAGAAACACGGGGGGAAAAGTCATGCAGGAAACGGGGATGAAAACAGGAGGCGTGTCCTTCGTGCGCTGGTGTTCGGGGGAGGTGTGGCCGAGGCAAATAATCCAGGAGAAAATCCAAGGGGGAGGACTTTATTGGTACCAGGCGCTTCGAGGTCCCAGGCTCGCACGATATGGGAATCAACGCAGAGCTGCATTTTTAAGGAGAACTGAAAGGGCGTTGGAACAGGGAACAGGTGCGGGCGACGAGTGAAAGCAACGGGCACAAGGGAGGATACGCCCTGGACAGGACACCAGTCCATCGCAGGGAAGACACACAGACGCAAACACAAACATGCACACCTAAGAAAATAGCACACCTGAGAAAACTGGCCTTGGGTGTGCTTGAGATAAAAGGTAAAATATAATTATCATCCAAACTCGATCCAGGCTATACTGTAGCCATTTTATTTTCCAAAAGCAAATAATTCACCAAAATCCTTAGAAAAGCCATTTCTGGGGCTCCAAAAATGGCTTATTCAGAGTGCAGATGGCCCCTACAGTCCAGGTATAAGTGCACTGATCCACCATCACAGGATTGCGTAGGCTTCAGTATGGTGGTTATGGTTGCATGCAAAGCCAGTAACTTCTGCTTTCTGCTTTTCATACAAGCATAACCACTGGATCACTGCGAGCTTGTGCAAATGTTAGTGAGATATTCATTACTCCTCCAGTATAGTGAGTGGCAATATATAGTGAAATGAAGCAAGTGTGTCAAAGCAGTGCAACTCAGCTCACAGGCTCCAGCAGCGATCCAACTTTATAAATGACAGGGGATTCAACTTTAAAGATTGCCAACATAATGTAATCGGTGACCATGTTTAATAGAAAAAGAGCAGTTTCCATTATCTGATATGAACATCCGCATTTATCGCTTGTCTCCTATCCTATTGCTTGTGTTCCATGTAATTCACTGTTGTTGGTTCTGCTTAGATTGGCACTGTAACTATTCCTGCAACAACCATTCCTGCAGATGCTTAACTTGGCTGACTGAGAATAAATACTGCTGTACGTGTTCACAGTGGACATAGTTCATAGTCCAAATAAGTTAGTGTCAAATGTATGCGGTTTTTCCCACTAATCAAAAAACAGTGTGATGCTTACAGTACAGTATATACAGAACTATGGTCTAGTGTATCCATAATATACACTCCTGACATTAGTGTTAGCTGATATAAAAAAAGACAAATGTGTCCCCAGATATCTGTGTCACTTCTATTTTGTGATGGGTGCTCTGTCATAGTTGTATAATCCTTATGTTAAGGATGCTCGTGCCACCCGTGCCTAAGCCTGTAAATTTTCACTAACATCTCCAAAGTATGATGTTCAGGTAAATACTCTGGGAAAGCAGCTTCTGATAAAAGAGCAGTGCAAGGAAGACTGTAGGGAAGCCAGGTTAACAGCCACCCCGTGTTCGATTCCAGCCCAGTGTATTGTCTAGGTTTTTGTGAGGGTTACTGTTCCTGTTTCTTCCCACCATCCAAGGACACACTGTGTATGTTAATCGGAGTCTCTAAATTGCCACTGGGACTCACTAAGGATAAAACAGACTAAAAAGGGATACCGTATGTGGAGTAAGTAGAACCTGGAGTTTGGTTGATTGATGAGAATCCTATTAACAGCTGCATTCCAGTACACAGCTTAAAGATGGAATGCAGTATAATACATTGAATCTGAAATTAAAAAACCTCCATAATTACAGCAGAGAGTAAGGGGGTTAATTTGTGGTAAATGCTCAATGAATGATAATTCATCATCGCCGGAAGGCAAAATAATTATCTTTTAAAGATATCACCAGGGTAATCAAGTGCTGTTAATAGGATAAAATAGTCCTGTAGCAGCTCTACCAACATTCCAAAAGTCAGCACTAACTGCTGAAGAAGATGTTCACCGTTTACTGACTTTTTTCAAGAGAACTGAATCATAAATCATTGTGTTTTCAGTTTTTGTTTTCCCTGACCCTTGTGCATGACTTATTTGAGATTCTGAGACAAACCGAGCAACCAGCTGATACACATTTGTGTTACGAACTGCATTACTTTTTCATACGGTGCCTAGTTGCAATGCAACTGTTTAGTTTTCTTCTTCCAAGCAAGAAGAGTGGCTGGTGCATTCATGTTCCTGTCCTTTTTCATATACAGTAAAGCCTCCCCTGTTACCCGATTTGATAAAGTCAGTCACATGTTACCCGTGTATCTAATGGAAAATATTAGTCATGGTGGCAACAAGAAAAGTCTTTTAAAGAACCACAAAACAAAGACATTTTTTACTTCAGCTTATCAATGAAGATACTGTGCATTTAATTTCAGCTGGTTACTGGTTAATTTACCATATTCAGATATTCAGGTGCTGACCAGGCTCAAACTAACACTTTCTCAAGAAGTGAAACTCAATCAGTTGCTCTTATTAGGCTATAAAAGACATAAGGAACAGGTAACGGTTTATTCCATGCTGAGAAGAAAAGAAAGGAAACACAAAGTTTCGGCTGTGAAGCCTTTTTCAGGTGTGAGCACTTCTTCAGGTATATGCACTTTCCTGGACTAGTTGAAGTGGTAACTTTCAAATGCATGCGTTTAAACGGAAGTGGAAAGCAGATTTCTATATATGATATATTTTAGGTCACATTTCTGCCGTTATACCTGTGGTTCAAACGGGGTTTATTGTTGATAGAAACATTGGATTACAAATTGTTACTCATTATTATTACCCACTTCTGAATTTAGTGAAAAACTGTAAAAATACTCAAAGGTGTAATGGACAACAACAATATTACAAAATTAATCTTGCCATTCATCAAAAAATAAAACGCCAAAAAAAGTTTTTTGTGTTTTTTAAGATCCTTCCCTATATCTCCATGTCTTTACAACAAACAGATAAATATTAATCTAGTACAAGTGGAATTTAATTACAGTTGCAGTGGGGATCATACTTTACAATGTCTTTACGGACTATACTGTGTGTTTATTACTAATACCTAACCCTGTGAGAAAAGCAGAGACTCAAGCTCGTTCGCAGACTTCAAATTAAATTGTAGCTATTAAAACCCAATTTCATCCTCCCTAGAAAACGGCTGGGCAAGGCAGGCAAGAAGCAACTCAATTTAATCTTCCCAAGATAATCACATTTCAGCAGGCTCCTTTAATACAGACTGGTGTCTGCTAAGCTTTAGTCCTGATGCTTGTGTAATTGTTTGGAGTACATTACGGGAAAACAGAAAGCCCCGCGTCATTTCACCATGTTTTAAATTTGGAACCATCAATTATTTTTATTGTATGGCCACCAAACGTAGAATAACCAATCGTACCTTTCACTCTGCAACACAATACGCATTTCCCAAATGATTAGTGCCTTTTTAAATGAATCATTTCAGTGAGTAAAACAAATTTTTCATTAGTGTCTGTACTCTTGAGTATTCAGTCATTTAATTCACCGAGTTATACTGCAGAGACAAAACAAGCGTTGATGTTAATCAATATGGGATATAATTCATGTTCTCGGAGCACTCAGATGACAAGGGAATGAACAGGGAGAAATTGTTGTCAAATACGACACAGAAACCATTAGGCAGGTTGCACTGTCACTCTGCTCAAACACACATCCAGTAGCACTGTTTTGAATGAATTGTAGAATGAATTGTGGTGGTTATCTAAGATGGTCTTATTGATTGAACTTTCAAAAGTGAATGAACAATAGAAGAAGAAATAACTAATTCCACTTATTACTAAATGAAAACATGTTTTTGTATTTTTTAAGTTTCTTTAATCAATATCCAATATTTCTGTATATTTATAATAAGTAGTCTGAAATCCTAGTGGCACAAATCAGGTTTTCAATTGCAGTTCTTTGAAGTCAGACAATCTGACAGACACAGTATGATACAGTATATATAGAGAGAAACTATGTGAAAGTTGTGTAGCACCAGCTACATTACTGGGCTTACAGAACATTCACCATTGACAGGCTAAATTAATTGAATATAGAAGACTAAGGTGGGACCTGATTCATGTATTCAAAATCTTCAAAACCATTGACAGAATCAACATAAAACAATTAAAAATGGAAAAAAGCATTAAAAAAAAAACAGGAGGCACGGGATATAGTTATCTTAACAGCTATCTAGAATTTTAGGCACAACAAAAATAGAAACACAGAGAGAAACATATTGTATATGTCATACTTGAAGTTTGAAGATTATGGTATTATAAAATTAAATCTGAAGAAAGACAAATTCCAATTAATTAGGGATTTTCAGTATGTTATTCTTGAAGTTCACTCCCATAATGAAATGTATCATCAAATGACTACGGACTTTGTATCAGGAGTATCTAGAGGACCATACACCAGTTGCGTTTTGCTCAAGGGAAACTCTAAGCTACACAAACGATCTTTTACTTGACTCAATAATAGAATTCATTTGACCTATTTGGCTGTTTTCAGCTCTTTCACCTCCTACTTTCAGGAGGTTGCGTATTGACTATTGAATTTCAGCTCACTGTTGAAGACAAAAGTTTTATATTAGCAATATAGTAGGGTGATGTGAATATGAAATATGAATTAATGACACAAAAGCACAAACAATACAACATGAATCAAGCAAGAAACTGTGTTCAGAGCAAGGCAGAATAAGGCTTTTATTCAGGTTAGTAAGAACTGAAATGTTCTGTGCCATTCTAGGTCTCATAAAATGTTATATCTGTCATGTATGTCATAAAACTAGTTTTAAAACTTTAAAACTTCAGTTGTCTTCTATGGTCATCATTCCCACAAAGTCTTTGTAAAAAATCACATTTTTGTCTGGATCAACAGCAGCAGAAAGCATCTCCTCCATTTCCTCCTGTGTGAATGGCTCTCCTGGAAAAAAGAAGAGGCAAACGTCACCGCTGCTACAATGCATAATTGAACACAGCCTTTGGCTGTGTGATAGCTTTACCATTTGGTTGTCCTTAACTTTAAAATTAACCCCCTTATCAGACCCACCTTCAAAATAAGAAACAGACCTTGGAGAACCTATTTAAAACAACTCTGGCATTTATTTGGACATATCATTTCAGTGTTCTACACACTGTGGGGAAGCAATAATACATAAAAATAGAAATATGATATAGAGATACAAGTGTAGAATGTAAATCAATCTCAGGTTATAATTGTACAATGCACTAGTAAGACCTAATTTAGAATATTGTGATTATTTCTGGTCAGCATGATACAAAGAGAAGCTGTTCTCTAAAATCAGTCCAAAAAAGAGCAGCCAGGTACATTACCTGTTCAAAGTAATATGCTATCATCACAAGCTAAAAAACTGCATGTTACTAGTCCTGAACAGACAGACTACAAGAGGATCTAATTCAAGTATTCAAGATCCTTAAAAGCATTGACAAAGTTAATTCTTTACTACTCAAGTTTATTTAGAATCATGATTGAACACAAATGGAAACCACGAAAAAGTTAATTTAAAACTAAGAAATTCCTTGCACACAGTGTTATGGCGGTATGGGACAAGCTAACCAACCATATTAGTGAAGGTGATTCCATCACCAACAGGTCTAAACTGCAAACCTTCTTAAGTTCTTATGTTTGTATGGAGTATTGAAGAAACAAGGCAGATACTTTAAAATATTAAACTGTTTAAAGAAACCGTTTAATAAGTTAAAAGTGTGCATTCCTAGGTTATGTTACCTGACGTATTATGCAGCATTAAGTTAGCATGAGGTTAGAGAATGATGTTCCATATTAAATAAATTAATATCATTAAATGTCATTTTGGGATTTTTTTTCATCTCATTCTTCTACAGTTTTGCTTTCAAAAGTGTTTATCATACTTCACAATTCACCAAATTCTTTCATCAAATGTATCTAAAAAATCTAAATGTTTGTATTCAACCCATGATTATGCAATTAAGAGAAAATAAGACACAAATTAAATTATTTTTTATAATTGCATTAAAACAAAGCTCTGTTTTATTCACAGGATATTAAGCAAATAAGTTACTGTATGAAGTTTAAGAAAAGCAGTTTGGAATTTTAAGCAACAAAGATAGAACAGTTCAATTCTTCTGTCAGCTCTGCTGTTAAAGTTACTGGATAGATAAATGCATGCGTATTTTCTCTGATTACTGTATGTCATGTACGAAGAATAAAACATTCAAATAATGAATTAAAACCTTGTTTGCTTATCAATGAAAAAAAACAGGTGGAAAAATGCGGTGTGCTGGTAAATGTTTTATTAATAGCACTCTCTGTCTTCCAATGAAGTAGTTTTAGATAATTCTTGCAAATGTTTTCTGTTCAGAAAAGGTTGACATCATTGACAGAGTGTGATAACTTTCATTGACATTGAAAAGAGATATTCTCCAATCAGTGAAAGCATGTCACAGAGCATATGGGTTCTTACACACTCCTGTCAAGAGGTGTGTGTTGGTAAAAAATACAAGCTCCATAGCCTCAGCAACTTCTGAGCCATTGTTAGAAAATTACAGATCATAACCCATAATGATGTTTTTTTGACAACCAAGATATTGTTTGACAATTACAATTACAGACAGCTCTACAAAGACCTACACAAAGAGAGCTCCTGGATTTGCTTAATCATAGACAACTAAAAAATATATATATAGAAATGTCTAACATTTGTATACACATAAGGAAAATATTTTAAAATGTCATAAATGTTATTCATGGCAAAATGCTACAGACTAACCTCTTACCTCTAAGGCATGGTCAACTAGGGAATCACCAATTATTTTTATTATACAGTACATCCACTCACTTTGGATTTACAATTTTTAAAGACTTTGCTTTACTGGTAAGAGTCATGCACAGTAACACATAGGGATAACAAGTAAGTGGAGACATGTCCATCCAATATTCCCACCGTATACAGTCATTCATCATTTCAAAAGCTCCATAGTGCCTCACAGTGGCAGATATACATAAATATATACAGTAGTTCTTAATAGAACTATTGTACATACTTAGGGTTTGTAATAGATATCAGCCTCTGCTTGTAGCCTGGTTTAACAGCCCTCTAAACCCACAAGACACTGTTCCTACTATCTCATTCTGTTTTGCTGTAAGAGTCTATTAATCTTTACAATGAGTCTCTAATATGTTTATGATAGTTTAGCACCTACATACAGTAGATAGTTCATCTTGTTTATGTTGCTTGTTATTCTGATGGTAAACAAAATAACTTCATTATATATAGGCAGGAGGACAACGTTGTGAGCGTTTGTAGTAGGGCTGACTGTTCATCTACAGGCTTGTGAACAGCATCTGCTAGGCATCATTTAGGGAAGACCTAAAAACAGACAGACCTTTCTTCTCCAGTCTGATTTAGAAGCAAGTAATCCTTGCAGTAAGGTCGCAGTAATCCTAGTGTAGGACTGCTATATGACTGAGCTCATGAATGAGTTATTGTGAAGGAGTCTGCTGATGGACTGAGAAAGTACAGAGATGCATGCATAAACTCCCTGTTTGTACAGTACTCGAGCCTGCTTTTCAGGCTAGTCTAGGGTTAAAGTGGGTAGCTGCGTCAGCATGCGTAGTCTGCAAAGGAACAAGTAATAGGTTTATTCCATGCTGAAAAGAGAAGAGAGAAAATGAACATTTTGGGTTTGGAGCCTTCTTCAGGTGTACCATTCAATTTTGACTCCAATTATACTTCTGTTTCCACTTGAAATGACTAAATAGAGAGAGTTTACATACTGAAATGAGTTTTCTTAACACTTTTAATTTGACTCACTTTTGGAATGCCATTGTTAAAATGTGCAGTACAATATAAACAGCCAAATATATCCAAAAAAGAAAAAACATTGTCATGAGTGAAAAGTATCACTCTTCAAGAAGTTCACTTTTGCCCCAAAGTAAAGCAATAAGGTCAATAAATGTCCTGTGGGAAACTTACTGTGGGTATCCTAACCCTAACCCTAGCTGGGGTTTAAACTGAGAGAATCTGTCTCTGAAAGGCCTACATATATTACATTTGAAAATATCTCTCAAACCACAAAATATGAGCCATAAATATACAAATTAATGCAAAAATGCTGTTAAAATTGATATTTAAATGAGCATGCTTTTCAGGCCAATCTAGGGCTAGGGTTACAAGAACCATCCAATTTTTACTCAATTGATATAGTACATACTGTATACTGTGATTTATGATTAAGACTATATAAAACTTGTGACTGGTACTCAGCATTGCATAGAAGTCAATCCTCACACTAGTTAAAATCATTAGCAAAAAAAAATTACACTAATGAACTCTCTAATGAACCTGTTCTGAAGCTTCAGAACAAAATCAAAAGGCTGAAGACCTCAACCTTATTAGTCTTGAACAGAGATGATTACAAGTGGACCTGCCTATAGTACTCAAAATATTCAAAGGTACTAATGAAATCTGCCCAATAGAGTTCTTCAGAATGAATAGTCAAACATAAACCAGATGCTATTTGGCCCATTTGTCTATTTGTTAATTAGTAACTAATTGATCTAGCCATTTCCTGAAATAATTCAGGTATTGGCTTTGACAACATGACTGCTTAGCTTGATATGCGTACAACACTTTGTAGTTTCATGCAATTCCATGCAGCTTACACAACTAATTACAATGTTTTAATAACTCAACCTTTCACACACGTGTAAAATTGCAAACAAATCCTAATCACGAAATCCGGTCTCACAACATTCAAGCTGGTGTCAAATAGAAACCTTCAATCACCCCTGTGTTACTTTAAAAAGGTCATTCGTCTTAAATCATTTTTTGAATCCAGTTAGGCTCTGTGGTTGAATTACAATTAAAAGCAACATCTACAAAACAAAAACCCTTAATAAACCACAAACGAAATATTTAAGGAGGTGTTGTGGAGCACAATAACCACAAGGTGGCAAAAGAATACTTTTAAGCCATTTGGAAATCTAAGTGGCTTTGACTGTAGTACGTTTTCACAGGTAAAGTTAAGAACAATAAGGCTTCATATAAGCAAAATTACCTTCTTCAGACATGAATTTTGTGAGTTCTTCAGGATCAAGGTATCCTTTTCTATCATGATCTAAAACCTTAGGGGAAAACATAAACAAACAAGTCAAAATCTATATCAAAGAAAATTTTACATTGGCAACATCAATCAATTCTGATTTCATTTTGTGGTATGTGAATATAATCCACTAATGGGAAATCATGCCTTAACAGAGGCAGTAAAGTCTTTGCCCAGAGGGTAAAAGAAATAGTAAAAATTATATTTTGTTACTGTGTTTGGATTATATCTGACAAAGGAGAATATTAAGCAATAGAATGTCACTGAGAATACTTAAATCAAAACACTGTGTGCATTGCATGCTTTTATAGTGGTAAAGAACAAATCATCCTATTAACAAATATTCACCCTTCACATATAATTCACTATTGATGTTTTGAATGTAGCAAAGCCTAATTTTTTAATAATTTCAACTAATTATAATAATAAAGTTGAAATTAAAAAATAATACTGAATAAAGTTATCCCAGTTTAGAATGGAACCCAGGATCCCAGCTGGAACCCAGCTGTGAGGCAGCTGTGCTCACCATGCCACCATAAGGTCAAGATACATAATTCAATAAACTGAAGTATTCCCAAGAGAATGTATACCTACCTCGAAAGCTCGCAGGAGAGTATCTTCAGAAATAGGTCTGTACCTGCAGATTATAAAGAATGATGGATGTTGCTTATATTTCTCATTTGTTTTAATAATATAGAGTACTCATAGCAAATCAGTCTGAAGAAATAGCTAATATGGAATTTGTTCTCATTTTCTGTGACAAGAATATTACATTATATTATGAAAAACTATGTAAATATAATGATTTTAAAAATAATCCTATTATATTAAACACTTAATTAAGCATGATAACTGTCAGTGATTCATGCTTATAACTTAAAACTCATTGAAAGCCTCAAGGAACAAATGTCAACAACACCTCAACATATTTACTGTCTAAGGAACTAGCTTATTAAGTCAATGGACGGACCATTATTGTCAATAATATTTATATATAATCAGGTTATAGTGAGCATGATATGTTATGAAAAAAACAATTTAATTTGTTTCTGACCTATAATTTGTTCTTAGTTCTTAAAATGAATCTGCAAAAAGCATAATTCTGCAAAATTAGTTAAGACATTTAGAGGTATATGCGGTGTAATAATTTGTACTATGCAAGGATTTTCTTTTAAAAACAATATCTCAAGCTCTCTGATTTTCCTTTCTTAGTTTATCAAACATAAACACAAAAGTTTCTGAATAAACCAGTACTGTATGTATGGAGATGGCTCAATCAGAGTAATGGAATGTTACCACATTGTAAAAATACATCTTTTCCTGGTTTTAGTTTTATATAAAAAAAAATACATTTTTAACTCTTGTATTAACTGTTGTGAGTAAAAAGTACACCTTAAAAGTTATTTTCCATAAGTAACAGGTACATTCAGATACATTAAGGGTTGTCACCATTTCATTGGTGACAACCTCCAATCTCCATCCATCCATTTTCTAACTGCTTTATCAAAATACGGGCTCACGATAGAGCCACATCCTATCCTGCAGGCAACAGGAGCAAGGACACCTGACCCTAGCCGGGATACCAGTCATTTGCAAAGCATTCACAGACACGCACAAACTCACACCATGGCCAATTTTCCCAGAAGCCAATTAACCCACCAGTATGTCTTTGGACTGTGAGAGGAAACTGGTGCGGCTGAAGGAAACCCCAGGAACTGACCCTGGGTCCCAGTGCAGAGGGTCACTAATGCTAACAACAGCACCATCGTGCCACCCCAGCCTCCAATCAGTTTTCACAAAAGGGTGTTGGTTGAAGGTGGCTTAAAAACATTTCTTGTTTTTCCACAAGAGATGCTGTGCTGTTTTTATCTATAAAGCAAAAGGAACTTTTAAACATGGTAAATTAAACATTTAACTAATCAGAAGATTCTTTGTCAAAAGGGTAACATACTTCCTCTTACCATTCACCTGAATGCATATTTATAGAAGTAATTGTTTATTTTTCCAAATAAATAAACCTGATAGATGTACTGCTCCTCCTTCATTTATTTCCAAAAGTGGTTAAAAACTAGCACATTTTAACTTTCAAGAAATCTTTAATTCTAGAAACTGAAGTGACAAAAGTAGCCAGAAAAGAAAGAAACAGAGGCTTTAACAGTAGACGCATAACAATGGGTTTTTGTCCAAGAGCCCACTTTCAAGAGTGTGTTTTTCCTGGCAAACCATTCCAACAAGTTCTGGGAATTCCTAGGAAAAGAAACAGAAAAGGGTGTTGCACCTCTTTTGTGGCTTGTCGGATGTCCTCATTTTCCATTCTATCCAATTTTAGGTTTTGAACCAAATTTTATTTGACTAAATACTTCACAACTTGATAGAACTGAATTGGACTGTTGCCTGTTCGTAGATAGTTCTGTATCTTCAGATGTGTGTAAAACATATAGGTGTGTAAAGCACCAACTTGCACACTACGTTACAAATTACTGGAGCCCATATTCCTGAACATACAGTACACAAGATTTTCGGTATAGATGACACATCTGTGGGACTACAATTTCAAATACTGTTAACCGAGGTTAAATGCCATGAGAAAAGACACAGGGAGTATCAATATACAAAATTGAATGTTTACTGTGCCTCCAAAGTAACATTAAGAAAATTAGTAATTAATACTAATAAAATGAATATGCTTAAAATCAGTCCCTAAATATACACCATGTAGACCAGTAGCTTATTCTTACTACACTGCATTGTAATTCTAACAGTGTTGCAGAATATCCCTTTGCAGAGCTCCAGATTTCACTCAGACCTGGCTCTCTCTGCCACCAGTTTGCAAGTTCTCCCTGTGTCATCATGCGTTATATTTTGGTGCTCCAGTGTCCACCCACAGCATGCTGTCATACCGTCTTGGTTAACTGCAGTCTCTGAAAAGCTCAGCAATTCATTGTTTCTATTTGTGGGAGAATGGAGGAACCTCCTATCAATTGAAAAACCAAAATAGCCAGACAGGCCAAATGGTCTCCTGTGTACCTGTGCTTATGCCTCTCACATGAGTGTATGTAAGTGAATGCATATGTGTGAGCCCAAGACTAGTGGTACCAGATGGACTGGTGCCTGATCCTGGGTGTAGTAAAGTCTGGTGCCTGCTGTGTTGTGCTCCAGCCCACAGTGACCCTCTAAGGATAAAACATGTACTGAACATGGTTGGATGGACACAGTGCTACTTGATGTTAATTATTCAAAAATATCAATTTAAAGTAAATATTATTAAGATTAACACTGAATTTGAAAAATTGCCTGGTGTTAAACTATCACTGGAGCATGGTGGAAAACTTATTTTCTGACAGACACTTCTATCAAAAGTTTATAATGTACTGTATTGGGTTGTTTTATCTTAAAACAGACTACTATATTCCATTATTAAGTGTGGACAGCTAACATATACTGATGTACAAAAGCAATACAACACACAGGTGTAACTGTTTTAATTAAATATATTTAACATACAGCTGATATTAAACACTATCACATCAAACATGAAAAAACCCATGAAATAATCCTAATAAGTATTCAGTGTGAACACTGCAGTGTATTGTCATAATGAAAACATTACAAATCTAGTGTCAGTACCTCTCTGAGCATTGACCTAACGCTGGGTGCACTGATAACACAGACATGATAAGCCTCTGAACAGACTGCTGTGATACAGTATGTTGTGCCATTTTCCTGTATAGCCTTCAGCCATGTGGCGAGTAATGGATGGTCACAGTTGTTTCCCATTGGTTGCACTGGCAAACAAATCCTCATCATTGTTTTATTGCAGCTGTGCCATTGTAGCCACAGTACTGTGTTGCCCTGTACTATCATGCTGGAATCTCAACACTTCCAGTTTATTTTATACAAAAACTATTGGCTCAAGGACTTTGTTAACCTGGCTGTCACTGAGCTGTTACATTAGATCAGCTTCAATCTGAACCAAAGGCATTTTTGTGTTAAAGATGATTTCCTTCCTTCCCATCACACTTCCACCTCCCCACCAGTTGACGTGAGCTGCACAACAGTCAACATAGCACTCACTAAGACATCTCCACACGTTATTTGCCTTCTTTCATGTCTGTCAAGGGCAAAATGGCATTCTACAGTGAATAAAACACACCAACACCAAATCTGTTCTCTAGCTCATAGAATACAGTGATTTTATCACTCTGCTGTCAACATTTCTCCCGAACAGCCTCCAAGCATGCTGATAATTTTCACACAGATGGCGAGCAATCATTTTTTTTTGCTGCAGTGTGGGTTATTTCTTTTTGGAACAGATCCTGCTGTAGCCACTGCTGATTGAAAACAATTGCACAGGTGTATCAGATATAACAGTCCAGGGCAATTGTTCCAGGTCAGGACTCTCTGTTTTCCAGGATGTAGTCCAGACCTGGTTTTTCAGCGCTAGTCTGTAAACAAATGCTGATGACACCATCCACATATTTGGAAGGGGTGGGGGGAGAAGGGTTATAGTTGGGCTTAACAAAACAATGGGGGGCATATTTACACTCATGGGTACAATCTCCATGATTTTTACTGGTTTACCAGCCACCAGAAACCATCTCCCCACTATAGTTGTCACAACTGTTGAAGTAGCTTAACTCGCTCTCTCGGCAACTTCTCTCACTGACAGATTGCCTTCACTCATGCCAACAGCAACCAGGGGATATTCATTACTCAAGTGGTATATGCCTCACTCTCTGTACTTGAGTTAATTAATATCACGTCTTTCTGGATAGCTGTTTAGACAGATTTTTAATCATCTAATTTTGGTATCCTGAACTAAACCGAAATTCCAAATTATGAGCAACTAGTGTTTCTATGAATAAATTTGACTTGAGCTCAGTATTCTGTTGTCTCAAGGAAAAATACATCCCACTTCATTAAAATACATTAAAAATGTACATATTTAATTAAATATATTAAATTAGTTAAAATGAAATGTGTTCCCATTGAGGTACTGATGCAAAACATTTTAATTGTGTATCAGTATACATCATGGATAGCAGCACTACCACCTAGCTGCTGGAAGAGGCGTTAGTGGGGCCAGCAGGGGGCGCTCACCCTGCAGTCCATGTGGGTCCTAATGCCCCAGTATACTGACGGGGACACTATACTGTAAACAGGTGATGTCCTTCGGATGAGACATAAAACCGAGGTCCTGACTCTCTGTGGTCATTAAAAATCCCAGGGTGTTTCTCGAAAAGAGTAGGGGTGTAACCCTGGTGTCCTGGCCAAATTTCCCATTGGCCCTTACCAATCATGGCCTCCTAATAATCCCCCTCTATGAATTGGCTACATTACTCTGCTCTCCTCCCCACTGATAGCTGATGTGTGGTGAGCGTTCTGGTGCACTATGGCTGCTGTCGCATCATCCAGGTGGATGCTGCACATTGGTGGTGGTGGAGGGGAGTCCCCATTACCTGTAAAGCGCTTTGAGTGGAGTGTCCAGAAAAGCGCTATATAAGTGTAAGCAATTATTAATTATTATTATTATTATTTGATCAGATCTCAGAAGCTAAGCCACGCTTGGCCTGGTCAGTACTGTAATGGGACACCTTCAAGGAAAACCAGGTTGATGCTGTAAATGGTGCTGGTGGTTGACTAGGTGACATTCTTCCCTCTGGAACCATCCAGTACAGTGATAAGAGATATTGTGCTGTTGAAAGTGAATTCCTTCAGAAGAGCTGTTAAACCACCGTCCTGTCTGCTGACTTATTAAAGACCCCATGGGGACTGTTTGAACAAATGTTTACTGTGGTTTTGTGGCTAAATTCAACTCTGGTCTTACACAAACTGATTTAAGTTCACCCTTAATTCACTGGTGCCTCAGCCGGCAATTTCTCACTTCTCAACCTGATCTGTTGTGTAGTGGGGTCTGCATATGCGTAATGGCTGTAATATATCACCAGGTGGATGCTGCAATTCGGTGGTAAATGAGGTGGGTCCCCTTCTATAACTACTCGGTATAATCTCTTTGGGAGCCTTTGGGATGAAATAATACCATGCCATATGAATGTAAAAATGATTAATTTTACAATTATAATATTGTATAATATACATATATGTTAATGTACTACTTTTCAGTGTATCTCTGTACCATATGTATGGTACAGAGATATTACTTACCTTATTGGTCACGAGGCTGACAAAACACATTTTAGTAATTTGTTTGGCTAAAATTATCCAACCTTTTAAAACTGTTTTAATACAGCTACAAGAAAGGTGCATATACTGGGATGATAGAACAATAAATATGTATTGATTTATGTATGGTTATTTTTTCATGTAATAAAGTTATTGAAGAACCGTATATGGTGCAATCTGATTTTAAAGCACATTAAAGATAAAAAAATAAGCTTTATTGTCACAGGAAGTAATATTATTTTCTAAGAAACAATGTGATGCTCTTTGGCAATTACACTGCTTGGCATATTATCAGAAATCAGCTAGCAAGTGTCCAAGCCATATGGACATTCAAAATGTCTTACAGTAACAGGATTTTTATTAAAAGAGCTACATATATAGAGCTTCCTTTTCATATAGAAATTATATTATTGACCTTATTCAATGCAAAAATAGAAAAGATAATTTTTTTTTTAATTGTGAGTTGTCTAAAAATATGCAATTGTATGATTTTATTATTTGATGGCTGCAGCACTATAAGGGGGTATTCAATTTCAAATGCAACCAGATGTTTGACACTGGGTATTTGGAACATCATGGGAAAATTTAAAATTACACAATTTAAGAATAAGGAAAATTAATTTATTACAAATATATTTAGGGTGTTTGTTTTAACAAAAACAGACACACAACTAACAATGTTGCAAATTAAACATTGTTATTTGACACTATGTTTACTGTTTAGAGATACTATCATTTCTTATGCTTACTGTTTTTAGGAAATATAACCTGTTGATCACCTTTCTAATGCCAAGCTGTTTACAAAAACAAATACTTGTGTGCAAAGGAAGGGTGGGAACCCCAGCTTAAAATGCTTACTTTCAAGAAATTACAGTGTTACCGCTGTTTTCGAATTTGTCAATGTCACCTGGAAACCCTAAAGAGATGTGCCCAGTGGAAAACTAGACAGACTATTTTTCACTAAGTTAAATCTAAGACATGAAAATCAAATAAAAAAGTGATCCACCAATTCTAGTAGTCCAAAGTTTTGTTTTCTATCTAAATTCACAGGAAGGAAACTTCTTAAACAACTTTACTATAGATTTACTTACATACTGTATACTGTATTGTGATATTTTGTGATAGTACTCACTTCTGTGTAATAACCCAACATTATTTTTTCCACAGGCAACACTAATTAAAGTGCACCTCACACTGGGTTCTGTCAAATCTTTCATCAATTTGCCTGTTTCCACTTTTTTTAAGTACATTTAAGGTCATCTCTTTTTTAAACGGAGTGCTCCGGTTTCAATGCTCTGGAGTCAGACGCATATACTGTACCACCTAAAAAACTGAGATTAATTTCAGCTCCAAATGAAAGTAGCAGGGTAGAGTTTCCACCTGATGACTCTGTGACTTTGTTCATGCCACTGGCAATAATGTGCCGTAACAATGAGGTGGTTCAATGGAGAAATATACTATTCAAATTAATTACTATTCAGTTATACTAGATACAAATTATACTATTCAATACTAATTCATAATCATCTATTCAAAACATACTTTAATTATCATTATTTTAACTTTATTCCCATTTCTTTACATGTAAAAGCTTACTACTCTTTCCCAATGTCACAAAATCGCACAGTATTATGCATTTTTACCTTAAGAGTACTAATCTGTCAAATGAAGATGCTATTATGTATTTATGATAATAGCCCACTTAACTTTGTACATTAGGTAAAATGACAAAATCCTAAAGCTGAAAAATGTTTAACTTTATGCACAGCACAGCAATGATCAAGGGAATGCAAATGTCTGATAACCACTCATACTTGTTAATTCTTCCCATCACTTTATATCTTACAGCCAGGATTCTGGATTCTGAACCTATTTTTTTGCTTTTTGCTCACTTTGCTTTTGTAACACTTGAAAAAATTCCTAAAATGTTTTGTAAAATTCAGTATTTATGTATAGAAATTACATATAATTACATATATTGTATATAATTACAAATATATTAATATAATTCATCTTAATAATGGTTTTAAACATTCCTTATTTAGAGGGCAATGAGTAAATTTAGTGAAATTGGCACTAGTATAGAAAATGACTGCCTATTGCATTTTAAAGGTTGATGTAAAAAATGCAAAACCCTATATAAATGCATGCTGTGTACTACAGTATGTAACGGTTGTGCCTATATTTTGTGCCCAGTATTTATAAATATTGAAGCAATTCCCTAGCGGTGTAGGTGAATGTAGAAGGAGATACAGCAGCACTGGCGTGCAGGCTCACTGGGGTATAATGTCCTTAAAGATTACAGGTGAGTATACTATTCACAGAGAGGGGCAGAGTGTAGGAAAAGTGTATTGCTTTTGCTAACACTGCAGGAGGCAGAGACAGTCCTCTTTGTAGAGCTATTTCATTCACTGCCCCAGTCTCCTGTCTACAGCAATATTTGATTCAAATGAATCAGGTGAACAAAGTCTTTTATATCAATTCAGTGAATTGTCAATTGAATGACTTCATTTACTAAACGAATCAAACTGCCTTTGACCCAATGTAACTACTTAATAGATGGCACATTAACAATAATCGCAGCCCTGCAAATGTGTCACCTTAATTTAGTGTGTTTTTAGTGGTCTATCATTAAACCTCATGGGCAGAATCCCTTAGGGTTTCTAAGATCTTTCAATGGTCCCCTCTCAGGGAAGTCTGCATGGTCTTCTGTTTCTGTTTTCTTCTCTTAGGTTTTGACTCACTCATTATTTTCATCATTCACTTCTTTTTAGGCACTGGAGTTTTCAAACAGGTTTACACTTTGGTGCCCAATCATAGTCATTTCAACACTTCACTAATCATTATTTCTTAACAGAAACTTTACAAAGTTTCTTACAAAGTCATTATTCCTTTGCACCCTCAACTCTCCATTATTTGTATTCCCAATTTCATGCTATTCACAACTCCCCATCATACTTCATCCCTATCCCTAAGTGCCCAAAGCTCCAGCTGTGCTACCTAAATGATCTTATCTGTAGGGAAATGCCTGGATGCCCTGCCAAGATCTTTTAACTGAAAGGACCCCACCCAATCCCATAGAAAACTGGACAAAGCTTCCAATAATTTGTATGGTGAACTTCAGGCATCGGCTCATTCTGGGTGTATAAACTGCTATTGTTTCACCCCTTATGCCTTTCATTTGAGTATGTGTTCTGTATAATACTTCTTTTGCTGTTTTGTGAAATGAGCAGCTCCTGAAAAGACTTCCAAAGATGACAACAAGGAAGCAAATCTGTGCAAAATCTTTAGGAGCCCCGCTGTAGAAGCATCTATTTAAACCTGCCCTGGGACTCCAAGAGAGGTTGTGAACATGTTGTTACTGTTTATGAATTACCCCCATACAAATCTCATACAATTATTACCCACATACAATTCCATATTACTATATCCAATTTTAAAAAGCAAATAAAAAGGCACTATTGCATAACAAGGGAAAACAATCTAGCAAAACATGACAAACAACAACCATATATTTGCTCACCTCCGCTCCATTAGCACTTTTGTCATCGTTGGCAGGAATTTCTCAAACCGAATGTATCCTGTAGGTTCTTCCTCCTCTACCTATAGAAAATATAAAGGACTTTATATTCCCAGTCTATTCTAGTCACTCACGACTGAAGGGGTGGAAGGCAATCTTATAAATTAAGGGATCATGGATGCTTTAGTTACGTAAGCAGGTTCTATGAACCAAGGAGAATGTTAAGACTGATTGTCAGTGCGTTTTTTGCTTGCTTTTGTTTTCACTGAAGACCTGCTTTGTTATAGTTGTTAGAGCTATGGACATGAGACTATTTTGTGACTTTATGAGTTAATGAATTTCTGCATGTTGTCCTTATACTTCCAGAATATCTTTTAAAGTTTTCTAAAAAAGGAAATTAAATCTGGATAAAAAACAACATGGTAATGAATAAGGGAAATTAATGTCTGAATACTAAGAAAAATGCATATTTCAGGCATACCAGTAATAAATACAAGGTTTAGGCAATAGCATAATAGAATTACATGACATTTTAATATAAGAATATCCAACAAGCATAATAAAACTAAAGATTCTTCATTGTGTGAATAGTGTACATAGAGACCAAGGTTAAAAATGAAATAAAAAGACCATTAACTATTACAACAGTTATGTCTATTCATAAAATGTAGCATTTTTTTAACAGTGTTCTTTATGTCTCTGATCAGGCATTACTTTAGGTTGTGGTGAAAATTCCAATTTATCTGGAGCATCTTGATAGTTAATGGGATAAACTGTTGAATAACATGAAAACCGTCTTACTTCTGCTATTATATCATGCAGTTCCCCTTCTGTAGGAAAGCAGCCAAGTGAGCGTATAATCGTACCAACCTCCCTTTATAAGGAATAACAGAGACATGCACATAAGACTGCAAGAACCGAACAGAGGCTACGAAACTGCAGAGTGCAAATGCACGAGAAAAGCATGCAGAACCATAAAAATGTGAAACATACTGTCTGTTATTCTAAAAAAAAAAAAATAGAATCAGCAAGGGAATCACTTCTATACAGCCTTCAAATGGAGAAGGCACCAAACCCATGAGGCGTCATTCTATGGAAACAGCCTGCGGCTAAATCATACAGTATATGCATGACTGCTAAGTTTTAATGAACTTTAATTATCGAAACAATTCGGCTATTCAGTGCTTGGATGTTACAATATGCTGGGAAATGTGTTGTTTTATCTTTACTAACCAACACAAACAGTGGAAAGACATACTGTACTGTAACAGGAGTTGCAAGATAGTGCAGACAGAGAAACCCAACCTGAACAGTGGAAGGTGGGAGGAAACCAGAACACTCTGCAAAACACCAAGTGCCCACGGAGGAACCATGCAAACTCCACACAGACAGATGCTCCCAAATTAAATTCAACTCAGGACCTTGGAGCAACAAAGCAGTACTGCTAACCACCATGCTGTGTATGTGAGCGAAAATAATTGTTTTATCTTTACTAACCAATACCAGCAGTGGGAAGACATAATGTAACAGTGGTTGCAAGATCACTTCTGAATTGCCCTACTGTTCATACATATGAAAAACTCAAAATAATTTCAAAACCAATGGAATAATTTAAAATGTGCAATGGATGCAAAGCAGACAATACATTTATTTTTAAAGAAACAATATTTAAAGAAAATATTAAATACTAGCAAACATTATTTGTTAGTTTTGTTACACAAAATGGGTGTTCTCCAAAGCGTTTTGAATAAGAATTTCACACAAGATTGTTTAAGTACTGGTTAACATATGAGGTTTCCAAAAACACTCATTTTAAAATTATATTGCATTTAGATTATGCTAAATTAATTCATGAAAAACATTAGATCTGTTTAAACCTCTACATCTGCTCTACGTAAACAAAATATTACAAATCTCTGAATTATGTTTCCTACAAAAAACAGGATACATTGCGATTTTACTACCTGCATTCTGATTAAAATGTATCATACACCAATGCAATGAAGTATACTGTACCTGTTCAATTATTCTTATAAAATGAACACCAACATATTTCATTTAAAATGACATCAAACAAAATGTCACAATGTGTATAATTACAAGTGATAACGATACTGAAAACGTATCCTTATACTATATAAATTCTATATAAATTCAAAAAATGTTTTTCGTTATCGTGATAGCGGTCACACCCTTGCCGGTGTTAAATCACCCATTGGTTGAAAAGCGCAGGTGAGTAACAAGTGAGGTACAGTACTACAGTACGTTGATACCGATTTATTAACGTCTAGTTAAAATCGATTGAGCGTTGAATACTGCACCTAAAACGCTCCCGTGCTTTGTGACATTTCCATCATAGATACGGTATGTCCCCCACCTCTTACAAATGTGCATACTGTATGTGAAAGCTTTATGTAAAAAAAAGCTCAAATCATTTGCTTGTTAATGAAATTTTATATGCACCAAAAATGTTAACTAACAGCAAAAGATGTATGTGGTTTAAAGCCTGTTCTATTCCCACGAGCAGGCTGACTGTTTCATAACATTATTTAATAAAACAGACTAGATTTATGTTAGAGCAAACTTCCCCGAAAGGCTGAAGCTCTGTAACCCCCTGCTTTGGAAAAAGCTTGGTGTGGCGATACCCATTTGTCATTACAAAATACTTTATTTTATAACAAATATTCATCACGTTTAACTAAACGTAAACATGACGTTTAAAGATAAAACCTATGTTGTATCTGCCTTTGCCGCTCTGAGATCTATGGGTTCTTTCCATTGAAAAATTAGAAAAGCAATTCGCGAAATGCATCGTTTATCTGTTGCCCAAACCTCACATCCACCGTCTTGTTGGACTCGTGGTCAAACACGTCAAAAGCGCCGCTGATCTTTTTCTGAACAGCAGCAAGTATTGCGTCTAAAAGGCAAAAATAAAATGTGCCAACAAGCTTTAATTTGAAGTAGTCTTCAGTTCTACCTGCAGTACAGAACCTTCAAAGTCCAATAATACATACCAAAATGACTACAGTTATGTGAAGAGGAGTCATTTTAAATAATAAACTACTTTTGTTTAAACAATGCAGACTACAGTAGTCAAAAAGCAAAACGACTGAAGGAATCGTAAGATTTACGTCTGTAATCATATGGTTTAATCATATGGCTGGTTGTTCATCTCATTTCATCGCGAAATAGAACCTAATCGAACTTTCTATTAAATTAACAACACTGTACATGTGACTAATCATTGCTACTGCTTTCTACTGATAGACCCTCAACAGTTTGAAAGTTGAGTGTGGGGTAGACGATAAAACATAATCGTTTTTACGTTCCTTCTAATGTGCCTGTCAAAACAATCGTCTGATCAGTAAAAATAGGTACAGTACTCAGAACGGTTTGCTCAGTAAAACTAAGTACACTACTAAACAAGATTTTACTTAGTGAAGTTTGCAGGTAACGTTTATGTGAATCTGCATGACCTACGTTATCATGTCTTTCGCAGACACTTATTTGTACATTTATAAAATTAATCAAAAATGTATTTTTCGGAGAAGGTCAAACATGCTACATGCTTGAAAGTATTTTATAACAAAAAACTAAAGATCGGTAGTGGTGCTACAATACCTGCGGTATCCTTGTCTTCCGCCATGTTTCACTGCTCTTCCAGTTGCTAGGAGACCTAATGCTATCCCAACTCCCCTCAAGACTTCAGTTGTAGCAACTTTACTTTTGGATCCTTAAAACATGCTCTATGCAATTAGTAAACTGTACGGTACATTGGCATCTGCAATAACAATAAAAAAAGTTTTCCAGGATATGTATCTAAATACGTTCTACTGAAAGTTAAAATAATGTATCAATACGAATGTAAATATGGTGCACGACTGATTTCTTCAAAAAATGAGAAATTTAAACAATGATACCAACGAAGGTATTTATCATTTCCAACACGACGTTTTAGTAAAGGAAATTAATTCTAAACAGTATATTTCTTCGAAAGAAAATATGTCTGCTGTTCAAATTTATGAGGACAAATTAATTGAACTATGTAAATAAAATAATCACCTTATTTAAATATGTTAGCAATTGATATTTTAAGATACATTCATAAATTCAGTTAAATAGTTTTTGATGTACATTTGGGCTAATGTTGTTAGAATATGGAATATTTCCCCATTGAATGACAACTGTAGGACAAAATTCACAAATACTTTTTAATTCATATTTTAAGCTGCCTTGTGTGGCAATGTATTGATTTTCTGATACTTATTTATACTTGAAATGTCACATAAACACTTGTCTGTTGTGACAATTTACCAGTTTCCAGTTACCAGTATTGGTTTGTCTCTTTGAATGCATCAAACAGAAACTACACAAACATTAAAGTTTCTGATAAATTTGCATTCTAGTTTAATGAAATGTGCAACACTGACCCACACATTGTGTAAATCATATACTTTTCTGTTCTACTCAAGACGTTTTTCACTTCAGTAACTAAACTTATTTTAGTTGACTTTGAAGGGATTTGGATATGTTACCAAATACTGTATAATGTCTGTACACCTTCATATGAAAATGTTCATGGTAGTATTCCATTATTCAATGTTTGAAGTGAAACAGTTGTATGGTGTGTTGAGGTGGTGCTGGGGCCATTGGTTCAGTTCCTTGGGTGCTATCTGTGTGGAGTTTGTATGTTCTCCCTGTGTTCAAATGAGTTTCCTTTAAGTTCTCCAGTTTCATCCCACAGTCCAAAGACATACTGGGAGGTTAATTGGCTTCAGGGAGAATGGACTCTGTTGTTGTAAGTGTGTGTTTGTTTGTATCTATGATTCATCCTATAATTGACTTCTGTCCAGTCCAGGGTGTACCCTACCTTCCCCTGTTGCTTGTCAGGATGGGCTCCAGCCCCCCCACACAACCCTGAAGTGGATAAAGTGTTTGGTTGTCTGTGTTTCTCTAAAAGCCCATTGGCAATACTAAGAACAAACCTCTCAAGTATGAAATCCCCTTGAGCTCAGTCCCTGTACAGAGATAATTCAGTGCAGCCAAAGAAACCCAACCTGAATGGTGGAAGGTGGGAGGAAACAAGAACACTCTGCAAAACTCCAAGTGCACACGGAGGAACCATGCAAACTCCACACAGACAGATGCTCCCAAATGGAATTCAACTCAGAACCTTGGAGTAACGAAGCAGTACTGCTAACCACCATGTTATGTATGTGAGTGAAAATAATAGAAAATATCATCTTCTTGTAAGCAAGTTGTTATCTGTCAACATAATTTGACAACGTTTCTTTGCCTCATCTGATGAAGTATATATGGACCACTAAAATGCAGACAAGCGGAGGATTGGGGAGCACTGCTTGTTCCCCCAAAACTATTACGCTGCATTATGCAGAATAACACGCGCAAATGGTCTTCTCGTGTTTTTTTTTTCATTTGTTATTGTACATTGCATAGCTACAACATTGCACTATTTCTTTCTTTTCTGTACATTGCGAAATACATGTGGCCCTTGGTGAAATTCGCTTAGAATATGTTGTGCTTCACAGAAACATCAAGGAACAATCGCACTTTCCTAATATCTCTGCTCTGCAAAAAAAAAAAATGTAGAATTTAAAATACTTTCGGCTTTTTATCTTGGATCACTTTGCACACGATCGTGCATTCTTACTGGACCATGCACTGATATTAGAAAAGCCTCAGAATTAAAACGCGAATAAACTCCGGTTTGCTGTTTTACTAAGCACAACAGATGTGTTTCTTAACTTTTAATACATTTCTAACAAAAGCTAAAAATATGCAGGCATAACACTGTACCAAATGAAACTGTCGTCGCAGTTGTCGGCTAATTACGGTAGTCACCGCCCAATTTCTCCCTCCTTTCGCATGAATACGGTAAGAGTGTATTACGTACAACTGGCGCTAGATAGCCGCGCAGCTGCCAGTGGGAGAGACGCACAGAGAGGGACGAGCGTTGTTTGGCGCAGTAGAAATTCTAGGCGGCTTTGCTTTCTCTGTATCACTTTGTCTACAGGGCTTTCTTTTAAAAAAAAATATTTGTATATCCCCGAGCTTCGAGCGGAAATCCAACGGGAAAAATGAGTGCAATCAACGTAAAGAAGCTAAAGGTAAACGAATTGAAGGACGAGCTGAAAAAGCGCCGGCTCTCTGACAAGGGGCTGAAGGCCGAGCTGATGGACCGGCTGCAGGCCGCACTCGACGAGGAGGCCAAAGCCGGTGGCGCTTTCACCGGGCCCGGAGGCGAGGAGAACGGGGCCGAGGGGGGATCGGATGGGGCGGGCGGCTTCGATGAGATGGGCGACGAGCTGGAGGACGATCTGGCCGGCGAGAGCATGGAGGCCGAGGAGGAGGAAGACGGGGGCGAAGCGGACGCAGCAGAAGTCGAAGCTGAAGCCGAAGCCGAAGCCGAAGCCGAAACCACTGCCGCCGCCGCCGCCGCCACAGCTGCTGCTGCTCCTGCTGCTCCGGGCGGTGGCGCAGATGTCGGCGGGCAGGATGATGAGATGGGGGAGGAAGAGGAGGAAGACGCGGGAGTCGAAATGGATAAATCCGAGGATGATGAAGATGCCGGGATAGAAATGGACAAATTCGAAGAGGAAGATGGGGCACCAGGATCGCAGCCCGCTGAAGGTTAGTCCCCATCTTAACTAAGACCCGAAACATCACGTGTTTACGCCAGCCCTGCCGGTCGGAGCAGAAGGCGCAATTGATGGCTGTTACTTAACAATACGGGCCAAACAATTGTTAGACGTGCTTCGATAGGGGCCTTGTTTTCGGACACGAAGGCGCAGTTTGGGCGTTCGTTTTTTTTCTCTTCTTTTTCTGCAAACGCGTTTTGGAGGTCAGCCGCGAATGACGCGGGGTGCTATTTGTGGTTTTGTCGGCGCTTTCCAGACAAAGATCCACATGGTGCTGCCAGGCGAGATGAAATGGTGGCCCTGGTCGGAGGCGGCGGCGGCGACTCGCCTCGCCTCCATTGTTCTGTGGGCGACGGGCCGGGCCTGCGGATGTGTATCTGTCTCGGCTTTAGCTGTGTCCCCCCGCGACGTCTCGGATGTTCCTCCAGCTCTCTTCCCCGCGGTTGCCTGTCGTGTGCGCTTCAGTCTGACATTGCTCAAGCCGTGTCGGGCCTAGTCCTTCCGTTCCGTGCCTTCCTGTAGTGGCAGGACTTTACTGTACTTTCGTTTTTGTTTTGTCGGCTGTAAGTTTTCGGAGGCTTTTTTTTGTTTGTTTTGGACGATTTGTTTGAGAGATTTAGACTGGTTTGAGGCGTCATATTCCCGCCGGACTGATTTTTTTTTATTTTTAAATCTGTGCCTTTGAACGGTTAGTGGGCAGTAGCGGTTTTGAAAAATGCCAGGGAAGGTTAAAATCCGATTTTATCAACGTGTACAGCGCTTATTGCCCACGTATTTCAGACGCAGTCTGAACTGGGAATCGGGTCTATTTATTGGGAAAACCAGGCTGGAGCTTTTAACGGCGAGAAAGGTCTCAATTTGCAAATATTTCCTGGGAGAAAGTAAACTTGAAATGCGTTGTTTGTAGTAAATGCCGTGTACATTGACCGGCATGGAAAGCAACGATGGTGTGGGGGGGAGGAGGAATGTTCATAAAGCTTGGAAAAAAATGTCTTTACAATTTTGGTCTTCTCTGTCACAAAAAAAGACCAAACGCGCTGTAGTCTTAACAAAAACATGCAGCAGTTTGTGGCCGCCATGTAACAATTCGGCTCAAACGCTGAGGTATCCCTCTTCATGTTGTGTTTTATTTTTCAAAGGAGACGCTGATAAAGACAAGAAAGGTGAACAGAAGAATAAGAAGGGTGTAAAGAGACGCCGTGAAGAACATGGAAGGGGCTACTTTGAATTTATCGAAGAAAGCAAATACAGCCGGTAAGGACCATGGTGGCCTTCGCTAAATCTGAAGTGCCACCGCGTAAGTGAATGGCTCACGGATTCACGGATGCCCCTGGGTCTCCTCTGTAAAAGGGGTAACAAAGAAAAGCCGAGGAGACCAGAGCAGCTGGGCAGGGTGGGGGTGGGGGCGGGGGCTCAGCTCGCATAATGTAGGGTTTCTGCTAGAAGGACGTCTGCCCTTTGGGTCTTCGGTTAGTGTATTTGGGGGGTAATAGTCTTATCTAAACAGTTTCACTTACATTGAGTCATCTGCAGATTAAGTAGTGGGGAGCGAAGGGTTTATTTATTGCTTTAAGAATATCGATCTGTTCTTGAGGATGCAGGCGACTAAAATGGCGCGTTTATCCATGCTTTTCATCTAGGCATTTCTGACGGACCTTGAGTTTTGACATGCAACCCCTTTCGAGAACGCAGTTCATTATAGTTTCAGCGTCACCGTCAAATTCCTGCGCATCGTTAGAAATTGAATTTGTCGCTTTAAAGAGGAATGGGGATGAGACGTTTCGATCGTTTACAAATCTGAGAAGTTTTTTTTAAACTCGAGATGTCGATTTTGTCGTCTTTGGTTCAGATTAGGTTGCTTAACCACAACGTTTTTGCTTTTCTTTGATGGACGTATGTTTGTGAAAGTGCGGAACTAACAATCAACTTTTCTTAAACATGTATTTAATTATGTGGCTGTCTTCGTTTTAATCCTTCGTGTTCTTTGCGATGTGGAAGCCTACGTCTTAAAACATCATCTTCATTTAACTGTCTTAATGTAGGGGTCAGTAATTCAAAGGTAGGGTAATTCATTTTGTATTTCTATCCCATTTGATAAATGTGTCTGTTTCTTTAAAATTGGGGTTAATTTTAATTTCAGATCACAAGAGATTTTAACTGTGGCATGAAAAGCAGGCCATGTTGAGTATTTTTATACTCATTTATATTCTCATTTATGCAATGCCTGATTTGAGAAGCATGCACATCAGAATTTTGTAGTGTTTTAGAATGTTTACCTGTCTCACAATGGGGCTATTGGAGCTTTAAAATACATTTTTCATATGTAATTGGTGAAAATGCTAACATTACCAATTATACAGACACCAGGTATTTTGATGTCAAGACTGTATAGAGCAGTCTATGCATAGCGCTTGTGAGTAAAGCTCTTCAATTTCAGTCATTTAGTTTTTATTTTTAAGCGTTTAGCTGTTTGGTATGGTCTTTGCTGAAAATAGAAATGGAATGCTCTTATTTAAACATTTTGAGGTAAGATGCATCTTTCACACCCGGGATCCAACGACTATACTGTGAATGGAGAAAATTAGGCTGGATGTGTCTTGTTTTACAGGGCTAAGTCACCCCAGCCACCTCTTGAGGAGGAAGATGAAGAATTTGATGACACCACTGTTTGTCTTGATACTTGTAAGTATTCAATGGTGGTAGTGTCGTGTTAGGCTAAATTTACTAAGCAAATTTACAAAGAAATTGTTTTTCAGTAGTGTTTTAAAGCCCAATGGAATGAAGATGCAAAAAACATACCTCCTTCATATGTGAAGATAGGTTCAAGATTGTTACAAATCTTAACTATTAAACTATATCTTAACTAACATATCAGACTGACTTCAGTGAGCATTATAAGAACACCCTAACACACAACTGAATGGTAACTTATTAGATGACTTGGAGGCTAAATCTTATTTTTCTTACTGTGCATTCAATTCGCAAAATCTGCTAGCTAGAAATGGGAGGGTTATTCAACATTGGCTGCTGAAATTTTCGCATTGATGTGTAATATGCTGTAAAGCTCAGGGTTTGTGTTCAAACCAACAGTGGGGGGAAAAACTGGAAGAGATTTGATTTTAGCTCTAAGACTTTTAAAGTATGGACTCCTTCATGCTGTGTTTGGCACCTCGTTGGTAGTTGTTGCTAGCCTCAGGAGGTTATTCTGGCTTTGTCTGGTGGACACCAGTGGTTTTTACGTTCATAGGGGAAATCTGAGCAGCTTTGCTTGGTTTCTGGAGAGAACCTGCAAGTGCTAGGAAAGCGGGTAGTGATATTTAAAAGAATTCAAGGTTTCAAATGTTTGCCATTATTTAAACATCGACACAATTATATAAGCTAGTTTTATGCACTCTTAGGTTATGCGGGACAGGGGAAGTGCCATTTGTCCAGTTAATTGCATTGGTAAATAATATTGAAATTGCAGCTGTATTTTAAAATTATTTTTAGGTTCTAGGTATTGTTTTAATGTTTTCCAGCCAAGCTAAAGCTATGTGGTGGCTGTTACCTATGTTTCCCTTTCCTTTAAAGAAGGAATGCAAGTGTTAAAAAGGAGAAGAGATGTTTAGATCCTTTAGCTCATTTCAGTTTTCAATAGCTAATGCATCCAAAGATCTCATCTAGCTTTTTCTTGAGAGAATCCTGGGTGTCGGCTTCAGCAACATGACTCGGCAGCTGATACCTCTGAAGTCTTTTAGGAAACCTCTAGGAATAAATGGGTATCGCTTTACACTGTCATCTTAGAGACCATTTCATGCAACTTAAATTTTAATTAGGTGAAATATTTATACAGCTTGTTGCTTATGTAGTCTTTGTGAATTGAGGTTTGTCCTGTACTTTGTAATGTTTTGTAAAGTGAAGGTTTTTATTAGTGGTGATAAGTTTCCCTTTAGTCCATTTGTTTTTGTGAATGCTTAACCAGACTGTTGGGTATTTCTAGGTTGAGACTGGTTCTCATTTTTCTAGTAGTTAGGTTTTATGCAGATGCATTTAAAGTTAATATTTCAGTTGTCAAACATAAAATGAATGATTTGTTTTATAACCAAATATTGGTCTCAATGTTTAATGTGAATTTTCTTTGTTTTAGACAACAGTGATCTTCACTTCAAAATCTCCAGGGATCGTTACAGTGCTTCCTCTTTGACTATGGAAAGTTTTGCCTATCTCTGGGCTGGTGGAAGAGCTTCTTATGGAGTTGCAAAAGGAAAGGCCTGCTTTGAAATGAAGGTGCATATCTTGAATTCTCTCCTGTTTTTGTCTGTTTTTTAAATGAAAGGCCTAAGTTCCTGCATTATTTGATACTCACTGGGTTTAGGCTGGCCTGTATAGAGCATGAAATTGTGTGAAAGCATCTTGAGTTTCTTATACCTTTTATTCACTTATTTTAGATATTCAACAACTTAGTATATGCTGAATGGATCAGAACATGTATAAGTATTTGAGTCATTTGACTTTCTTGATTTAATCAAAACATCCTTTTCATCACTGTTAATACCTTATTATGGTCATAAAGTACTAGATTGCGACAAAATAGAACTAGAAGTTTATTCTGGTACAATTTATAAAAATGGTAAACTTGACAGCATTACCTGTTTTAAAACTACAATAAGTGTTTTAAGAGATGTTAAGTATAGTATGGTCTAGTGATTAATTTTAATATAACAAATGTCATGTAAAAGCCAGGAATATGTACATACAAAATAGTTACATAGCAGGCAAAACTTTACATACAAAACTTTGTTGTAGATTATTGAGAAGATCCCAGTGAAGCATGTTTCGAGCAAAGGCATTGAGATCCATGAAGTGCAGGTTGGCTGGTCTTTGGCAAATGGGAATCTGCTTCTTGGTAGGTGTTCACTTCGAATGACATGTAATATCAGTCACCTGACAGATGTTGCTTAAAAGTCTCCTTAAGCATGCAGTGTACTGATCCACCAGTTTAAACCACAGTAGATTTTAAATTGGCCCTGTTCACACGCCTTCCTGTGGGTGCAGATAAGCAGAACCTATACACTTGTATACCTTACATAGCTTTCATTGTACAGGATTTAAAGGAAATAAGGGTGAATTCACTTGAATTTTAGGGGAAGAGGAGCTGTCCTTTGCCTATTCAGTCAAAGGGAAGAAAACCACTAACTGTGTGACGGGAGACTATGGAGAGGCCTATGATGAGAATGATGTAATTGGATGCTTCATAGTAAGTCTTCATAATTTTCTTCTCTTGCCATAAAATGAGAAATGTATTGTTAGCCTTGGTTTATGCATCTTAAGACCATTTAAATGTAACTTTTTCTAAGATGTTTTATCCCAACATTTCTATTCGGTTTTCCACCAAAATATAGGTATTTGCTTGAAAGGTGTTCTGTGGTCTGTTTTCTTCTAGTAGTGGTGTCCTGCATCCCTAAAAAAACATGTACTAAAAATTACAGTATACTGGAAATGTCTATTTCTGTGCAGTTTGAAATTTGGTGAAACTGCTACCATACCCTTTCCATATTTCCATATCGGGCAGGGTGGTCTGGTTTTGCTTTTCAGAATAGCATAGCTTTGAAATGATTTTTGCCCGTGTGCCTTGTGAATTTCGTTGTCAATGCCATCTCTAACACAAGAACTTTTGGTGTTTATCAGAATTTTGAAGGTGAGGAGGTGGAGCTGTCCTATTCTAAAAATGGCCAAGACCTTGGAGTTGCTTTTAAAGTCGGCAAAGAAGCTCTGGCTGACATAGCCCTGTTCCCCCACGTGCTCTGTCATAACTGTGCTGTGGAGTTCAACTTTGGCCAGAGGGATACACCCTATTTCCCTGTTCCGGAGGGGTACACCTTCCTCCAGCAGATACCCGTTGAAGACCGGGTCCGAGGGCCGAAAGGGCCTGAGACGAAAAAGGATTGCGAGGTGGGTCTCCTTGTGCACAAACGTCTGAATAGGAGACCTGCATGTTTTTTTTTTGCTTAAACGCATGAGGATGGCTCAGTTTTTGAGTCCTCGAAGTTTGTGTTGTATTTTAAGTCCTTTTCTTTTCCTGCACTTTGAATTGACATTCCTAGGATTTGAATAGAACAATCTTTGGGCGGGGGGGGTCCAAAATAATGCTCTTGCCATGCATATCCTTTTGTCTCCCTTTTCCTCATGTTGAATACAAAGAGATGAAATTTAACTTTTCCCACTATTGTGGAAAAATGAACAGTACCTAACTGATATTGAGTCATTGTTCTATATTTTTGCTAATTGGGGATATTGGGCAGTTTGTGGTAAAAAATTAATACAAACGAATTCCATTATGTTCTGTTTATGAAGAAATTAGCTGGTTTACATAAGTTTTACTTCTTAAGCTGTAATTGCTATAATAGAAAATGATCATGGGAATGTCTTCTAACTTGCGTTCCCATTGGAATAAAACTTAATATTAATGTTTTATTGACTAGGTTGAAGTTAAACTAATGTAAAGAAATATGGCATAGTAATAATTCCATATAAGAGGCTTTAAAGTCATTTTTCACATTTATGATAAGTTCTGTTGTCCTTTTTAATTTCTTTCCAATTATACCATTAAATTGGCACTATTTAACCATTTACATGTAGTATTTGGTTTGGCTGAGAACAGCAGGGGGTGATGAAGTGTTGTCTTACCTGCCTGTATGCTTGAATATTTTTTAACCTTTTCCTCCTCAGGTCATCGTGATGGTTGGCCTTCCAGGAGCAGGAAAGACCACTTGGGTTATGAAACATATAGAAGAGAATCCTGGGAAATACAACATCCTGGGGACCAATACAATTCTGGAGAAAATGATGGTATGATTGAGTAGGAGAAATGTCGTAGCACTTTTTACCCATTGTAGTCAGAGTGAAAGTCTGAATGTTCTACATTATATAGCCATTACCAGTTGCTTATATTTTGATTAAGATGCTCTAAGCACAGTCATATCCTATCTTTGTTCTTGGTACATTTGTAAGTCTGCCTTGTGTTTGCAGATTGCAAGCCTTAAGCGACAGATGAAGGACACTGGGAAACTGACTGCCATTTCTCAACGCGCCCCCTTGTTTCTGGGCAAATTCATTGAGATTGCTGCCCGTAAGAAGCGTAACTACATTCTGGATCAGGTATGTATGGGGGTACTTGCATAATCTGGAATTTTTACTGCAATGAGCAAGATTAATGCCCGGTGTGCTGTAGATTTAACAATCTTTTTGTTTTCTTTGAACCTAGACTAATGTGTCTGCTCCAGCTCAGAGGAGGAAAATGTGCCTGTTTGCTGGTTTCCAGCGCAAGGCAGTAGTGGTCTGCCCATCAGATGAGGATTACAAGCAGAGGACGCAGAAGAAGGCAGAAACAGATGGCAAAGACTTACCTGAGCACGCAATCCTGAAAATGAAAGGTATGTGTACTTGTAAGTCTCAGCTCCTGTAGGATGTGGTATGGGTGAAAAGTAATTTGGAGTTGTTTGTTCAACTTATACTTTTCAGACAAATCCCTTACTTAGCAATTCAGTTTTGCACTTATGTTTGGTCATATTGGCTGAAACTGCAAAGACTATGCCCCTTTTAGCACATTGTTGTGGGAGTATGGAACTAGCTTCCCTGAAGATGATACTGTGTCTTCCTTTCAAGAAAAGATAAGCCCCCTTTCTCCATCACAATCCTGTATAATTGTTTTTGATATGTCAATTTTTTTGTACTTCGCACTTTGCTTAAATATACACTTTTAGTGAAAAGGCGTGTGCTGTGAAGTTGAATGGTCTCTCCTTGACCTTTTCCGCTCAGGAATCTTCGCATTGCCTGAGGAGGGCGAGTGCTTTGACGAGGTGACATACGTTGAACTTCAGAAGGAGGAAGCTGCAAAGCTCCTGGAGCAGTACAAGGAAGAGAGCAAGACTGTGCTTCCACCCGAGAAGAAGCCGAACCAAGGAGGAGCAGCCCCCAAAAAGGGCAACCGAGGGAGGGGTGGGAAGAACCAGTTCAACAGGGGTGGTGGACAGGGGCAGCGAGGAGGCCGTGGAGGGTTTCAGAACCGGGGCAATTTCAGAGGAGGCGAGTATGACTGCACGATTGTATAAAAATATACCGCATGTAATGCAGAGTGAAAACCCCTGCTTCCACTTCAGAGTGAATTAATGTGGAGGCAACTTGGTAACTTTTACTTGTTCTGTAGGACCAGGACCCCGTGGTGGATTTAACAGACCCCCCCGAGGCTTCCTTCCACCCCCGGCTTTCAGAGGGGGCTTTTCGAACCGAGGGAACTTCAACCGGGGTGGAGGGATGCCCAACCGGGGAGGGGCTCCCAGGGGAGGACCAGGCAGGGGCAACATGGCCCGGGGAGGCTCGATGAACAGGGGCAGCCTCAACCGTGGTGGCGGAGCAAACCGGGGGAACTTCAACCAGGTAGAGTTTTCTAGGAAAGGCCTTGAAAGGCTTTGTGGTGATTTTATAGGGATGGATGGTAGGGTGTTCATGAGTTACAGCATCTCAATGCCATTTTCACATACGTTTTTTTTAATGGCAGTCATTCACCTGAAATCCAACACTGGTCCCAGAAGAAGCATTGCTAATCAATGCATTGTGGCTGTACCTCTTAGTAGAAAGGCAACTTAAAAATGATGCATGATGTATTCTCTAAACTACTTTAGAGTACTACTTTAGATAAGTACTTGATTATGGGAATTTTTAGTACTGCTCTTTTAATAGGATGTAGTGGAATCTTTCATTGAACACTAGTGTACTGCTGTGATTTAACTATTGGAAGATTGGTGCCCACTGCAGTATATTACACTAAGTGTGATGGAGGACTAAATCTGTTGGGTGGTGGTCTTTGTAGTTTAAGATCAGAACCTGCTGATGACTTCAAGATAAATCCCATAAAGGGGTAGTGTGACAATTGTCACTGATTCAGTAGGAACAGCAATTGCCCATTGTAAACACGTCCTGCCTTCAGCTTTTGGAAAGCTTATAGCCTTCATTTCCATTTAAAATCATTTTATTTGATTAATTATTTGAATAACATATTTGAAAAATATTCCAAATGTAGGTGTTTAATATCCAGTTCTGGGTAAACCTTTCCAGGTTTGTGTGCCTTTATAAAATTAGATTTCCTCTGCTGGGTCCTTAACAATGTGACAATTGAAGTGCACATCCCTCTTTCCCCCCAGTGCGTTATTTCAGGTCATAACCTGCTTTGTTTTGGTTGCAGAAATTCCGGGGCAGAGGCGGAAACAATAACCGTGGCTTCAAGAACGGCAGTTTCGGGATGAACAAGGCTCAGGCCTTCAACCAGAGCTGGCAGCAAGGGGTAAGCATTTCTCTGATCTTTGGGGTCTTCCAAAATGCAGAGTTTATTATTGAAAGGTCCTATAATGAGCTAGATATCGATTGTGTAACTGTTGCATGGAGGCTTCCTCTGTTGTGTGGTTCTAGCCCAAATGGAAAAAATGAAACCCAAATGGTTTAGGTCTGTTTTCATAAATTACTTACTGATAGTTTTTCTTAAACTTTCAGACACTGCAACTTGCACTCGGGTTGTTTCGAGGATCTGTGATTAGTGGCAGCTTGTCTGTTGTAACTGCAGTTTAATCCTGGTGATTTTGTCTTTCACAGTTCTGGAATCAGAAGCCCTGGAGCCAGCAGTATCACCCAGGAGGATATTACTGAGCTGGGATAATGGACTGGTGATGCACAGACATCTTGCTCTGCAAACCTTCACAAATCTACCCTTTTTGTTTTTTTAGTCACACTTTTAAAAGAAAAGAAAAATTTAAAAAACACAAAAAAAAAACATTCCACATCTGAGGAAAAGTGCCTGCGGGTTCTCTTAGAAGCTTTATGGGTTAATTTTACTTTTATTTTTGTACATTTTTTTTTTTAAATTCCCATGCTTTAATGTTAATGTCAGGAACCTCAAGCATTGTGCAGGATGGGATGTTTCCGTAATTCAGGGTTCTGCATTTTATCTGTAAAATGTGATTTTTACTAAGAAGTAAATTGACTTTTGTGTTTTTTGCATAGTACCAGTTGTCCTTATTCTAGTGTTAAACTTTCACACAATTGGGAGGAAAACACTCCTTTTAGAAGCATGTAGACATTATGTGAGTTATTGTACCAGTAGTCCCGCAGCAACAAAAGTTTCTAAACTAATAAGTGAAGCTGTGACGGTTAAAAGTTGTGTGTTTTTTTTAAAAAGGCTTCATTTGTTGGTAAAAATGATAATTCAACATGTAAAAGCTAAACTTAGGTTTACAATAAATGGGTTCTTTGCTTTTTTTACTTGTATTGTTTATGTGTGTTTTTCATAATTTATTTCAAAGGTGTAAAATGACCTTTGAAAAACACTGGAAAGCCTTTTGTTGCAGAAATTCTGCCCTGACGCATAAATTCTATTACACTTCATGTGGGCAGAAAAATATGCAACTTCTGTAATGTTTTGAGGTCATCTCTTTACCAGTTTACTTCCCAAGAACCAGTAACTTTGGGAAGTCAAAGAGATCGGGTGGAAAGCAGTCTTTCACCTCTAGCTTTGTGCAAAAAGGAAGATTTCAGTGTTAAAGTATTCAAGTACTACCAATCCCTCCAGTATAGTCACACTTTAAAGACTAGCTATTTAGGACACTAATTGGTGTCTGTTGTGCTCTGTAAATATTTTAAGTTGAAGGTATACCATTTCTACCACAGAATAAGGCACACAAGTGTTTTGAAAAGTGCAGGTTAGATATAAAATGGTTCCTTTGGGGAGATTTTTTTTAAATCTGGGCTACTGAAGTAATTTTTTTACTCTTTTCAAATAGTGAAATTGCATCAGTGCTTTTTGTGAGTTCACTTTCCAGAGTGGACTTTCTTTGGAAAAATTGCACGACCAACCCCATTCACACACAATTCTCAAAGCATTAACATCCAGCTGAGCTGTTTGTGGATATCATGATCCCTTTTGCAACTAACAAGACTTTGGTTACCACATTAGGACTGTAGAATGATTTATTCATTGCATATTAATTTTAGAGTATGGAAGTGTATGGGTATTTTAAAATTCTTACTTTGATTGAATAGTTTACAGGTGTGGTAGCAGAATGAAAGACGCCCTACAAATTATAAAACTTCATAGGGATAGAATTTTAGTTTTACAGTTCTGAAGATTTTTCTATAGTAATGCCAGAAATGTACTACTTCTCACCATGTGGCCTGTGTGCCAAACCTGCATATAGATTAAGTTTAAGATTAAACGTGGAAGATAAGATCTTTCCGTTTGAAGAAAGATGACCTTGGGTGCACATGAATCTTACAACTAACTCAAAACTAGAATGCAGAAGTTGGAAATCCACCTTTCATTCTAAACTGCTCATCTTAACATGAGGTTTTATGAAAAAAATATTAAGTCGTCTTGAGACTTTTGTACATCAATCTATCCTTTTAAGGATATTTTTGAACATTTTCTCATTGTGTGCTGCAGTTCTTCAGGGCTGTTTTAAGACTTTATTTTCCCCCTCCAATACAATTGAGATCTTGGGGATAATTTCTGTGCAATACTTAATTGCATATTTTTGTACACTTTTTCTGTGAACCCCTGTGAGTCACTGTAGCAAAGTGAAAGTTGATTTGCTTTTTGGAAACGGAAAAGCTTCAACTTTTTCTCCCTGAGTTCTCCAAAACTGGTTTCTTGATGCAAACATTAAATACTGAGCTAATTAATATTTTTGGAATGTGGGAAAAGTCTATTTTAACAAGTTGTAAAGGGTTCCCGATCTATTTTTCCTGCTTTTTAAAAATCTTGTATGGCTTTCAACATCAATTGTGCTCTCATTCTGCAATGCCTGGCTAAACTGAAAACTTTTCCGTTGTAGCATTCACAAAGAGACCTGATGCAAAAAATAACTTTCCCTTTTCTAATTTAAAAATGTAAAGTGATTTCTAAAGTAAATGCTTTATATCTTGATTTGAAATGTTTTGTAAAGAATATGGCATGCGCTGTAAAATTTACAGCTTATTTCAGGTAAAGTTTGCTTGTGTTAGTGTTTGTGGATGTACACAGTTGAAGTATTTGGTCAGGTGTTACTACTTATCGTACTGGGGAACTGTTCTAATTTTGTAAAATAGACCGATTTTTTTTATATATACCTTGCTATGTTTTGTATTTTACTATGACAAATTAAAAAAATAAGCTGACCAAATAATTTTATTTATTTTACACATATGAAAGGATCTATAAACTACGTAAAATAAACAGATTTGGTGGTTAGTAGCCATGTGTTTGAGAAGGGCCTCCATTGCAATCTTTCTGTAGACTGGACTTCATAGTGCTCATCTGTTTAAAAAGGACATTTTGAAGATTCATGAAGTCATTTCAACACGAAACCATCTCCTGATTTTCACTATGATATACTTACCTTTTTGCTTTCATTAAAAGATATGGCTGCCATTTTTAATATCCTATAAATTGTAAAAGCTAAGCATAAAATGATTCTTGCATTCCTTGACGAATCTGCCTGAACTCGGATTTAGTGCTGTATACTGTTTATCATCCATTATAAAGCTTGCAATTACTTATATCTAGGTGTTAATTAACTTGCTTAATATTTCTAATGAAGAAGGCTTCCTATATGATTAAACAGATTAGTACATTTGTCGTATCTGCTTACTGACTTAAAGTATTTGCAAGCAGAGTGAACTTTTCCAAATAGACTGAGGCATTTTAAACTTATAACTCCTTACCTACTGAGGGAAATGAGAAGTCTGCAAAATAGTTTAACACTAGAAATTCATCGCTATAATAGACAAATGCTTCCCTTACAGGAGATATTTTTAAAGGCCCATTGGGGAAGTTGAACTGTCCCTCTTTGGGTCTAGGACTGTAGCTCAGTTGGGTTACCTTTTTGATGCCTGTTACACAATGTAACCTTTTAAATGGAAGTAAATTATGAGTAGGAACCAGCATTAACTGATTACATTATTTTGACACTTCTAAAGTGTGCTGATTCTTGTTTTGTGAGAAGTAAAGTTAGCAGGAAGCCTAAACTACTTATGGAAAGATAGCAGTTTGAAAGAGAACACCAAACAAGATTATTCAGAACCCCAAATTCTTGCATACTTCTAATATGGTTTATTCCTGGTATTTGGAGACTGCTGTAATTTAAGAAATGGTTGGAGCAGTAAATCTTTTAATACAAATATGTGCACATTTCCAGATCAATGAAACTTCATCATAAAGTGGAAAGGTAAATGTCTGTCATCAGAAATAAAAGAGTTGCATTTGTTACTTGAGAATCACATAGCAAACTGTTGCACTAAAGTGCTTTTGTTGTCACAGGGAGGTTAATCTGCTTGATCTTAAAAACTACACAGATCACTAAAAACTTTCACAATGAAACTGAATAAAAATACATCTGCATTGTCTTGGCAATAGTGTCCTAGTACCACAACACTGTGTTCTGTGCAAGCCAGGTAGAACTGTGAACATGCTCAAAATATCACATCTTCAGAACCCACATACTGATATTTTTTTATTTAAAAGTTTTAACACCACTGTTGTGTTAGAGTGATCCATACACACCTAGAACAGTTGCTATGAAGTCAACAACTATTTGGATTATAACATTAAGAGCTCAGGTAGAACACAGAAAATGCTGATCTATGTGGCCAGAAGTGAATCTCCATATATTATGTTAAAAATGATGGTTTACAATGTATTAATCCCCAAATGTGCTCGGTATAAGCACTGTAGACATAACTGTTCTGCCTTCCAAAAAAGTTATTTAATTTAATTAAACGAGTGGATCAGCGCCTTAATCTTACCTAGCTCGTTTTCTGAATGTTTCTCAAGGTTTTTCTTATTAACACAGTAGCATGCATGTGGCAAGGAAATGCTATTTTATTATCAATATTATCAGCATTTTCAAGACTAGGAAATTATGCCTTTGATCTTCATTTTGTTGGGAAGCTATTAATTACTGAAACTGGAAAATGGATTCAAAATAAATTCTTACAGGGGCGTAAATGAATACTTCAAATGTACAGTGGATTATTCTAGAAAGAGTGACGAACAAGACGTGCTGTGAAGTCGCCACATGAGGGCAGTACACAATGGTTATAAGAATGAAGTATCAGCATATTAAAATGGAATGCAATACAATATACAGCATTTACATGAAAATTTAATCACTACTGTTCCGTACATCATATTCACACACCTGAGTAAAAACATTTGATAAATTTTATTGGGCGTGATTTATATTTTGAAAATCTGCTGTTCTAGGAAGAAATTCAGAAACCTGTAAATGTATTGTAACGCAACGGGGGCTCAGCCGTAAGCGTTACAGTATTATTGTTATAAGAACTAACATCGTATTAAAAAATGCATTACACCTGCTCATTTGTGTATATTTCAGAGATAGATCTATGTATCGTAATTCTGTATATTCGTGATGCACAATTCCAGTTACCCAAGACGAGAATCCAGCAGATTTTCCCAGACCTTAGATCGACTCAGATTAGCGAAGGCGGTGAATAGAGAGATATTGCTGTGGCCCTATTATTTTATTAATTTGCTGTACACCAAGGGTTGATTTAAGTGTTTTAGTGATATCGTGATAATTACTCTAGGTTTTACTGTTGTAAACCATCGTAAATGCAAAGCAACAGTAACAGACTGAAAACATGGTAAAACATGCTGAGACAGAGTAAAGATAAAGTACTTTATATACTGTAGTAAGACAAAGTAGAGTTAATTCATGGAACAAAATGATTATTAAAATTGTTAAGTGTTTGTGCCTCTGTGTGCCCTGTGATGGACTGGCATCTCATCCAGGGTGTATTGTTTGCCAGGATCGGCTCTGGCTCCCCCGCGACCCTGAACTGGAAGAAACGGTTAGAAAATGGAGAGTTAGATCTGGTCAGGGGCGGCACTCTTTCCTCTAGACCAGAATTTCCAACCCATTGTTCCGGTATGGTTTATACTGTAGATGAGACGTTGGACTGACTACGTGCTCATTAAATACGTGGATAATGAATGGTTTTGGCCATTCGTATTCCGGCACCAATTCGTGATAGACTAGTACACATCTACCAATATCTTGTGCAGGGGTCGCTATTGACCTAGCTTTGAATAAGAAGGATTTACATAACTCCCCGATAATGATCTTTTTGATAAACAGTATATTCTTTAAAAACGTTTCTTTCGTGACATATTTTATCGCTTGACGCACAACGTAGGAAGCACAAACACACAAATGTATGACTGAGCTGACAAAACCCTCTCATTGCGTCAATCTAGCCTAGAGGCCGGACAAGACCTCATTGCGCTTACCATTCAATGGAGCAGCCGGGCAATAAGGCGACAGTTCCTGGTTAAATTGCGTTTTGACTTGAAATATAGTAAATTAAATATAGTACGTTTTAATTAAAAGCGTATTCATTAAACGCACTTAAATAAAGAATTGAACTATAATAATATGTCGTAAAATTGTAGACGTAGCTAAGTGTTGGACTTACATATATATAAAAAAACAAATAATAAAAGCTTGCTTTTGCGTTAGTCACAAAGGTAAAATATTAACCGAATGTGAGAATAACTGAATCGTTAAGATCTAGATAGGTAATTGGTTTAGGACGAGTTATAATATGGATTTCCTAACCTACAAACATTTTCCATACCTTTATATTTTTTACGCAAACTGCAGTCTGTAGGATATTGATACGACTGTTCAAATCTACTTCCGCTTTGTTGTCACTCCCCCTGGGTCCTTGAGTGTTTGATCGGTGTGGTGCTACTTTTTCGTCGGTTTGTGTTGCGAGTCTGCCGCACTCGTGTTCACAATGGCGACTGACACAGGCAGCAGCCTTTCAGTAGTGAAATTTGGCACAATTGTGTCATTGACTGTAGTCCTTTTAGCTTTCTGGTACCGATCGCCCGTACAGGACACGCTGGACGAGAGGCTCGACACTGTTTTATCGTCGCTTCTGAGAGCTGAAAGCAAAGTGGGCATTGATAACATCCGAAGACCCAGAGTGGCAATAGGTAAGCGGACTCTGTCCATTCTGTAATGTTATTAACATTGTTAATAACTACAATTTAAAGTATAAACTGATTCAGCGTTATAGAAGTTTGAAGGCATGCTTACTAAAGCGATAATACACGAAGGAAATTATGTCCGTGCGAGCGAACTGTGTGGAAGAAGTAAAGACGATGACTAACTGGAATACTGAATTTGTGTTTAAAATCGATTTACCTGGCCTGATGATATTAAAAGAAAATGTTATCGCGTATCATCCATAATTGTTTGACAAGTTTTTTGACAATTAAAACACATATAACATTATCTTTCAGTAATTTAAATCAACGCGTGTGAGCAGTTAAATACTAGGTCTTAATTCTTCCCCTTTTCTTGCTGCAAAGGTTTTGTTGAAAATGTCACTTTTTTACTGCATCCTGGTGTAACAATCAAGGGGTCATGTCATGTACTACTCCTGGACCAATAATGCATTGTGAATGCATTGTGAACTTTTGGAGAACGGGTTTGCTCATTTGAGTAACCTATACTTGCCCCAGAGAATTATTTTAAAGGAATTTTATCCTTTCTCACATTTTTACTTATTTCATTCAAACTGATTCCAGCCAGAATGACTTCATGCATTTTTGTATTCCCTTGAAGAATGCTTTGATACTGTAATTCTGAAACTGGAAAAAGGAGCACTGCACTAGGCAATTCGCAGTTGTAGGTCACACAGTCTGACACTTACATGTGTGTTTCCAGTTTTCCTAATGACCACATCCATATCTGTACATAGAACATATATTTGCCCTTAATCAGACTTTTGACCAAGCATTTGCCCTTAAGAGGTTTGGTTGTTTGCATGCCTTTTGAAATCTGTATATACAGTATATAGAACTAACAGGTCAATCCTGTTCCAACACCTGAAGAAATATAGTGGAGGGACAGATTCAATGGCCTTCAAGGGGAAGATTAGCTTGAAATTATGAATGAGCACACCTACAAAGGAGGCTGTTAAAACTACCTATCTCAAAAAGATGCAAAATGGGATTGACAGAACAAAATAAACATGGCATATGACTTCTTCAGAGGTCTTGCATCACAAAAGAGACTCTTTGCGCTTAAGAAAAAAGGCAAGTATTTGTTTTTTGCCATACAGGAAGTACCCTGAAAACAAAACAGTTTCTTTTGATATTTAAAAGTGCTTAGAAAAGTAATTTCAGTTATTTATATTTGGAACCAAAACAAAACGTCCTGTGGTGGTGGGTATGAGTATTTTTCAGAGCTTCAGAACAAAATTAAAGACTTTTTTACAATTTGTTTTTCAGCTAAATGTGTTGTGTTGATGGTCTTCTGTGTTTCTACACCATAGTTGTCATGTGTGCCAAATTTTGAAGTAATGATCAGTCCTGATTAAAAATAGTTGGAAATGAAATGCAAATATTTGCAAAACTAAAATGCAAATTATCAAAGGTGATAATTTTAATATTCAATTAGCTTTTGATCACATGAATACAAAAAATTGATATAATTTATAAATGCATCGTTATAGCACAAGAAATATTTTTAAAGAAATCAACTTGAAAACTCCAGAAATATCTTGTTCATGATTTTGAAAGTTTTAAAATAAATGAATCTCTTGTTGACCTTTAATGGAGTGGAAGCATCATTCGTATTACTTATTATTGAGATATTGATCATTAGCCTTTATAGCTATGACTCAGACTAAGTTCTTTGCTACTTTACAAGTTGTTCTTATTGGGTATGAGCTTTAAATTTCTGTAAGTCAATACCAGCAATCTAAAACTACCACTCATTATTATGAATGTTCTGCTTTTTTAACTCCTAGATAATTGTTTAAACATTCCAGAAGCATTTGAAGACACATATACACTTATTTACAAGTGTTCTGCTGATAAAATAAAGTAATACAATTTTTATTATCATTACTCTTGGTGTGCTAGAAAATGCATACTGGTATTCAGAACAGCATTTTTGCAGAGTAATGGATATAGTACACGTAGAGGCTAGAAGAGGATGTAAAATGTAATCAAATTCCAAAGCAAAACTATGCAGTTTGACTTTGATCAATTGATATGCACAAGTTGCTGATTTCAGTGTATCATTGTACTTCATTGCAAATGAGTTTTGTAAGGATATTTTTACTTAGTACATTTCTTATGTATAAGGGGTTGCAGCAAAAGCTTCCTAAGAGAGACGTACAGGCAGCTATAGTAGTTCAGTGGTTACGACCTGCTAGTTTGCAAATGTTGACTTAAGTTTGCTACTCAAAGTGCAATTTTTTCTAAGGTAAATGTCAACCAGTGGTCCCTCAAGGTGACTTTTAGTTCAGCTTTTCCACAGGGTTGGTATAATATTCAGTTCCAAAAAAGAACACACACTGCTTGTGTGCATGATTAAATTCATCCATTGTGTTTGCCAAATGTACAGAACAAAGAATGGTTGTATTTGAGAAATGAAATTGAATCATAGAGATCCCATATATCAGAAGTTTTCTTTAGCCAAGGTATTTAAAATGAAAAATTCTTTATAGTAGTTAAAATGGGGTTTGAGGGGGAAAAAGCTTAGTCATTTTTAGTCTCCACTCCTGTTTAAAAGGTTATAAGCCCACATCCTCTATAGTGGGAGACTGAGACCGGTCTCCAGGTGTATACTGTAAATACTGTCCAGCAGCAGTATGTTTGAAGTTCATGTGTTTTGCTACTTATTAAATACTTGTGTATCTCAATAAGACTTGCTAATTGTACTTTGTACTTCATATTTTTTCACTTATTTAAAAAAAAACTTTGTTCTATTACAACCTTAATTGGAAGGCAGTGAACCAACTGCAATGGGATCTTTTGCGTCTCTCAAGAGCATCCTATATGAAGAAACATGTCGGCCAGATGCTGTTATAAAATACCACACACATTCACTTACACGTTCCTTTGGAGTAATTTGCTGGATTCAGCTTTGATTTTGAATATCCACAAATTAAAGTTTTAACAATTTTTAACAATCGCATTGTTAGCCTAGGAATTTGGTGTAAACGGTAGAGACAAATGATTAACCAGAAGTAGTCTCTACTGAAGCTGCTTGTTTTTCTTTTCCTTGTAGATGTCCTTGCTTTTGCATTTCAAATGAGAAAAATAACGTGTGGATTTTCTCATGAGCATTTTAATATCCTTACTTGCAGAGTTTGATAATGAAAAACAATTCTAAACAGATCTAATTAAAATGAAACTTCTTTGCTAATAGAGTGTCTGCTTCTTTGGGGTGCACATGCAGATGGTTGCAAATGGAGGTTGTACTCATTGTGGTTCTAGTAAATAATGGTGCTTCTCATCTAACCACTTCTGTCCAGATCCAAGGGAGTTTGTTTCACTTTGACATGAAGATTGCCTTGTCTTTTAGGTTTTGGAGGGTGTGTGGATATCATTGTGGACGGCGTCGCATTGCTAAACAAAGTGGGAATCCAGCCCAGCAGCACTCCTCTTCATTATAACTTCATTGAGAATGTGGAGCAGTTATCTCGGAGCTTTTCATATTTTTTCCCCCCTGGTGCTGCCTCAGAGTAAGTAAAATGTGGTTTTTAGATGGTGCTGGTGGTGGTCTACAGCTTTTATTTTTCTACTTTATACTTAAAAAGTCTGCCTAATACCCAAATCATAAATGTAATTTCTCTGGTTTTCCTGACTGTTTTACGCAATTTGTGCAAATATACCAGTCCAGAGAATAAGGTCAATCTTTGCTTTGAGTGACACTGGAAACTGTCTAAAAACACTGTTTTTACAATCCAGTGGCAGTTACTATTAATTGATGTAGTTGGGAAATGTATCCAGGATGACTTGCATAATAGCACGATTTATATTATGAACGTCTGCCATAATTTCACAGCTAACTGTAGCTACACTACACAGTAAAGAGCAGAGGTTCCCATTCAGTAAGCTCTTTACTTACAGTAATTCCTAAATCAAACCAACAGATTGCTTGATAGGTGCCTTAGCAAGTTTTTGTTTTTCCCCATATCCACATTTCTAGGACAGATGGTGAAATTAATTTTAAAAAGGGGAGCATTCTGAAATGCTCGCAGATTTAGAACCTGAAAGGTTGCCGGTACAAATCCCTTGGCCAACCGAGGAATTCTACTCTGTTGGGCCCCTGAGTAAGGCCCTTAACCCCAGCTGCTCCAGGGGTGCCAAAAAAATGGCTGACCCTGCGCTCTGACTCCAAGCTTCTCTCTCCCTGTCTATGTGCCTGTGTGTCTCATGGAGAGTAAGCTGGGGTATGCGAAAAAGACAAATTTCTAATGCAAGAAATTATATATGGCAAATAAAGTGATCTTATCGTATCTCTTATCTTTTATAAATAGTAGTTGCTTGTTTTATTGTATCATGAGAAATCAACCCATATCTAATGTCAATTTTAGCGAACTATATTTTATATACTCTTTGCATAAATATTGTGATAGTCATTATTAATGTAATGTTTGTTATATTTTGAATTATGTAAATGGCACGGTGGTGTAGTGGTTATCATTACTGCCTAGCAGCGCTGGGGTTCTGAGTTCAGTTCCTGGGGTGCTATCTGCATGGTGTTTGTATGTTCTTCCTGTGTTCATTTGGGTTTCAACCTGTGGGAGGCTCTGGTTTCCTCCCACAGTACAAAGACATACTGGTAGGTTTATTGGTTTCAGGTAAAATTAGCCCTGGTGCGAGTGTGTTTGTGTCTGTGTGTGCCCTGTGATGGTGTGTGTGACCTGCCTTGTGCCCATTGCTTGCTGGGATAGGCTCAGGCTCTCCAGTGACCCTGAATTGGATAAGACTGTTAGAAAATGGATGAGTAGATGTTATTTAATTTGTGTTTATTTTTAGATGTATTATGTGTATGTTGTAATGGGTTAATAGGTAAATATCGTTTAAAGTTGCAGGAGAATAAATGGCATTTCCTGGATTTGTCGTGAAATAACAGGTGGCCACTCCCTGGGTTTGAACCCGGGCAAAGTAAACACCTCAGACAGGCTGCTCTGTGCTCACTGTCATGCTGCCAGACATCATAAACAAGGTCTCCTGAAACCTGTCCGATACTACATTGAATGAATTATTTTGAGAGACCCAGGAAAGAGACACCACCCTAACTGGCTCTTTACACACCAAATCTGGCTGCACCCTGAATATTATATCTGTAAATTCCCATATTTGAGCAAAACTGTAAGGTTTTTTAGCTGAATTTAATTTCAGTAGTTAAATTTAATGGAACACATTCCTGTAAGGCTTATAAAAGAGTATTAATGACATGGCAACAGAAAAAGTTGGCTGGGTACATGTAGGAAGCAAGAAGTTGAGGTTGTGTTGGAGTGTCACTAGAGCACACTCAGCCTTTGTCTGATTCCAGAACCACATAGTGTTACTTCTGGAAACAGTGGTTGTAGAACCCTGTCATGTTTTGAGGCCTGGTGTGTTGTTATGGTTATATGTAAGGCTTCTGTTAAGTTGTAACTTATGAACAATGATAAAACATTCATAATATGAAAAAACATTAACCCAGTAAACAGCAGAAAAACCTACCTTGTGCCCTATGCTCCCAGGATAGGTTCTGGGTTATATCAACTGGGTTATAACTAACTATTAAATCAATTGTAGATTCTCTCAAAAATGTTATTTATGCACCTATAGTTACTCACTTCTACAACTGTCTGCCTTTGCTTTCTGTCTTTCTCTCATCCTGTCTGTTCTGCTAAACCTGCAAATTTGTTTAGGAACATCTGATTGGCTCAGTGATGTGAAACTAAAAGCACAAATACAGTACAAATCCATTGGATGAGTACAGTGCCACCTAGAACTGAGAGGAGATATTTGAATACATGCTCAATTATAGGGAAATTACATGGACAGAGGAGAATGGAATGAGTAAATGTAAAAAATGTACATGTCTGAAGTAGTGTAACAAATTACAGAGGTTATTATGACAATAAATCTTGCTGTTTTCTAGCACCTGTTAAAAACCAAACCAGAAAGCAGAGACTTGAGAGAAGGAGTTCAACAGAGCCAGAGGCATCCACTCTACAGAGTGGGTGAATCCCAGTGACAGACTCCCCTGGTTCACCAACAATTCTCAAAATTCCGAAGCAGGAATAGCTACTTATCTACACCTTATTTACATCACAAAACGCTATTAAGATAAACAGTTGTTTTCCATTCACTGTCCTCATATCTCAAGAACCCAGCTGAGTGCACCCTGTTCCCTACCCCCACTCTTTCACTTCCTCTGTTGTTGCTTTTTACCCTCTATTTGTCACATACCCTCAGTCCCATACTGGGACCAGTTTAGCTGTTCAGCTGACTTTGTGATTTTCTCAGACAGCTGGTCAGCAGAATGTATATTCTGATTCTGTGACTGGTATGTTCACTGTTCCACATTGTGTGGATATATAGGTTATGTCTTTAGCTTAACGTGTGGTAACAAGAGTTTGTACTCATATTATAGAAGACTTCTGAGATTGACTGGATTTAGAGCACAGTAAGTGAAGATAAATTTGTATCTGTGCCTGATATCCTTACCAAAGGGCCCTTTTTGAAATAAACATATTTCAAAAGTTCACTCAGCAGTTCTGGGATTTTGTGCGACCCTACAATACCGTAGTTTCTAGTAAATCTGTTTGAAAAGAGCCCATCAATATGCTGTTAAAGATGCAGTTACCATGCAATGGTAAAACAGCTTCTGCGAGACGCTGAGATCACCAAACTTCCTGGTTCTGTTAAAAGCCACCAATATCTTTGTTATGCAAAGAATTGAATTTGCGTTTTTCATTTTCTAATGAAAAGATGTGGATATGATTTACTTTAATTCCAGCCTTTAAGAAATTACCAAAATATTTAGCTTTTTTACTTCATGTGCAGGTAGACATTTTAAACATCTGTTAATGGCCTCCACTTTGCTACTGTATGTATGTAGTTCTTAATTTCAGCTTCAACTTTCCAGTCTGGATGTGCTAACATCTGGTTAGTCTGGTTTGCTGTCTATCCTGTGGTGTGCTTTTTGACCTCAGATGGCTAAGAGGTCTCTACTCTAAAAGTTTATTAAATGTTTTAATATGCAAGCAATATCCTATACTGCCTGCAAGCTATGTTTATACTTAAAATGTGAAGGTGAAGGACCTGCCTTAGATTTAATTTTCCCTCTAAAATGGCAATCATTTACTTTGTACTTTAAATAGGGAAAGTGGCCTTGAAATTACTGATATAATAAAACAGTGATGTGTATTAGTCTACTGTATCTAAAGGTTATATCCAAAAAATTAGAATGACCAAATATCTCCTTTATAACTATCAAATTTAAAGTATGATTGATTTATACAATAGATTAGGCTATTTTACCCTATTGCATTGAGATTCAAGGATCTGTTAATTAGTGGACCTAAGGTCTCAAGAAGAACATTTTCTGCTCCGTGGCCCTGCTCCGTGGATGAAGTACATCTACACCCTTGTGTAATGTGCTTTGGGATCCTTTGGGAGGTTAGGTGCTATATGAAGTCTGTAATTGTCATCAAGCCTTCAGTGTTGGTATTTCTGTTCCATTTGTGAAGAAGAAGCTTAATCAGATTGCTCTGGCCAACCCAGCCCTGGTAGGTGTGAGTATCAGAAAGGGTAAAGAGATTAGCTTCCTAAAATAGTACTAAGCTAAGAAAGGGTACAAAGGAGAGGAATCCATTAGGCCCATCCAGCCCCTTTGGTTGTTGGTAGTTAATTAATCGCAGAATCTCACCAGACTTTTTCTTGAACAGAGCCTTCAACAACCCCATGGCTTCGTGGCTGGATGGCTCATTCCCTACTCCCACAACTCTTCTGAACAACTTGTTTTTGAAATGAGCTCTTTTTTCTTGCCTCCCTGTGTGTTATTTGTTTCAGGCGGTTCGTGGTCAATGAAACTCTGTTCAGTGAGCTTGTGGAAGCCTCCAGGGAACTTCCGGGGAACCGCTGGGCAGTTGGAGGGAACGCCGCCGTCATGGCGACCAGACTCGCCAACGAGGGCAGCGAAGTTCTCCTGGGGGGCAGCTTCAGCCCAGAGTTCACAGATGTCCTTCCTCCACATATAACAGGTTCCCATTTATGTCCAGAGACAGTATTTGTCATGTCACTTGAAGTTTACAGTGACCCCGTTAGCTACCTCAGAGGCAACAGAAAAAGGTACATGACTGCAAGACGATTAGATAAGATAAGATCACTTTATTAGCCATATACAATTTGTTGTATTAGGAATTTGTCTTTTCGCATACCCTAGCTTGCTCTCCATGAGACACACAGACACACAGACAGGGATTGAGAAGCTTGGGGTCAGAGCGCAGGGTCAGCCATTTATATGGCACCCCTGGAGCAGCTGGGGTTAAGGGCCTTACTCAGGGACCCAACGGAGTAGGAGTCCTCTGCCGGCCGCGGGATTTAAAGCAGTAACCTTCCAGCCACAGGCCCAGATCCTTAGCCACAGTGCCACCCCTCTGCCCAATTCTAAAGGTGCCTCTTTCTGAACTCCATGCTCTGTGAAGTGGCAGTAATAGGAGATACAGCATGCAGCAGTGTGGTCTGTTTAGAGCTTTAGGTGCCCAACTTTCTTAAGCATCGAGAACCCTGATATCTCTGGACCAGTCGTTAAGTAACTTTAACTATTGATCTCAAACAGATCTACTTTTGTTTTTTCTCATTAAACATAAAAATGTTCTAGGTTGGTGAGAGGCATTAAAAATCCAACATTTTAGTGTTAGAGCACATAGCATCTGTTTTGTTTTTAATGACTCTTGATTTATGTACCCTAACCTAAATTGCATTGTTTCTCTTCTAGTGGCAGGTAAGACGTTGGAGGAACCTGACATCCACTTGATTCTGGAGTATCCATCTGGAGCTAAATGGGGACAGTATACCTCTAGGAGAGCAAATAGGTTTGCCATTTTTTTCCTTTTATTTCCGATGTCTAAATCACCTAGATCGAGCAAGAAATTTGGCTCTTTCACCTCTTTCCTGACATTATAAATCCTCAAATGCTGAAAAATATCTGTTCTTTTTTGTGAGAATTTGAACCCAGAACTCAGCTCTATAGAATTCTTGTTTTAGGCTCCTAAGTGGCTACACTGGTAGAGCTTGCTCAGCTTCCAAGATAAGCAGTTTGAGTGTCATGTTAGTAGTGATCATGATTCCTCAGGTGGTGTGGCACAATTAGCCAACTTTCATTTGCAGTTCAGTGGGCTTTGACTTTATTTGACTCTTTCAATTTTTGGTGCAGTGATGAGAAATGGGTACTTCTCTGAAGGAACATACGAAGGAAGTGTGCTGCCCATTTCCAGCAGGTGCTTGTCTGACTTTTAAGTAAGGCACTGGTGAGATCACAGCTTGAACTGTTCTGAAAGGTCCACAGCTGCAGGTCTTTATTCTCCCTGTGTCATAGAGGAGTCGTAGCTGTAAATGCTTATTGATGGAGCTTTGGCAGTTCCAAGTTAAATGGATAGAAAATGGAAAAAAATTGGCAATTATGATTTCTTAAGTCCACTGTTGCAGGTTGTTGTCATAATTCTTAAGAACACAAGAAAGGTTACAAACAGGAAGATGGCATTTGGACCATCAAGCCCGTTTGGTTGCTAGTAGCAAACTGAGCAAAGCTTTGAATCCAGCCGATTCTTGAAAGAAGGATTTGAGGATTTTGAGTACTTGAATCAAGTCTTTTTTTCATTTCAAAAACTAAAACATTCTGTCTTTTCATCCTATCAGTCTTAGGCACCATAGCCCTGTGTCTTTAGTATGTTGTACCCCAGCTCAAGCTAAAAACAAAGGCACAAGCTGGGGTTCACTGAATAATTCTTTGCTCTGTGCACACCTTCTTAAATGTTTGTTTTTCAGGTACATTATCCATAGTGACAATCACAATCCTCTTCTGGACTCCATGGAGGACTTTGAGGAGCAGCTCCAGACATTCGGACCAGACCTGCTGGTGCTGGGTGGCCTTCAGATGATGGATAACTTCCCATTTCAAAAAGGTAAGTAGCAGAACCAGCTTTCTCCTTCCTGAGCCTTCTTTATGTAACACACATCCCTCGACCAGTTTGTCATTACGGTTTCCTGTTTTTTTCCTCAGAAATAAGACTTTTGTACCTGATGCCCTTCGCCTCGGTGAGGGTTTTTTTTCTCACATTGCTTTGTCTTAAGCAATGTTTTTACCTCCAACGCATGTGTTTTTGTTGTTGTGCAGCTCTGACTGCTTGCTTAAGATACTAAACAGGAACCCCTGGTGGGATCAGGTGTTGCTTGGGTTTTTCGACGAGGGCATGGAGTTTTCTTCACAGCTGAGTTTGTGCATGGCTTCAAATATGAACACTGTTTTAATGCAGTTACTGATTTTGAACCTCTGAAACATCCCTATCAGTCAGCCATGATTTTCTTGTAAGTAATACCATGTGTGGAATCACAGACCTGTGCAGTAACAACCCCTGATTTATAGGGTCATCGCATTGTTGCTCATAGATGTTTGCTCATTTGTGCTTGTTGGGTTTTTAGAACTTCTTCCCTTAACGTGTACGCTGTGACACTCAGCATTTGGGAAAGCTAAAGTAGGAGGCACTGTCACTCCTGCCACACACAAGACCAGTTTGAAACGTGTTGCTTCTTAAGTTCCCAGACCTTCCTGCAGATTGGGTGATTGTGTGTTCAACGATGTAGGAAAACAATACTACTGTGTTGAAATATGCAGCCATGAAAAGAAAATGAAAAGTACAAAGAGACTGTAGAGCCCAAGGACACCTCGAGCGAGATTTTAAACCTGACCTAGCAGGGTTGACAGCTTTCCAGGTTACTTTAAAAAAAAAACTTAAAAGCTTACCTGAGAAACATTCCGAATAATGTTAGTTATAGTCACAGTGTTTGGTGGCAGTGTAACAGGAAGAGGAGTGACCTAGTGACACACGAGTGTAATTCAGTATAATTTTACCCAGATGCATGATGACAGTATTTGTCTTACATGAGGTTGGTGCTTAAGAGGTTAAAATGTGGAGCTGTGTCAAAAGTGTGAGCAGAAGGAGAGCACACAAAGGTTCATTTCATTAGGAAAGTGGACAAAGAAAAGAAGAAAAACAACATTTTGACTGTGGAGGCTGAAGAAGACTGAAATATTATTTTTCTTTCTTAATTTTCATTGAATATCAACTTTTACATATTCTTTAACTGCACTTGTCAGTACCTGTTCACAGACGGCTTATAGCTTTTCACATCACTGCATGCTAATGGAGTGGACTGTTTCAGCCTGTGAAGATCATCCACTGATACTAAAAGAAACAGGACATTTGGAATGAATTTTAACTTGACAAGCGCCGTCACCTGTTGAGGTTTATTAACACAAGTGGTTTTAAGTACTGTAAATATACTTGTACATGTACACCTGTCAGCACAATATTACATACCTTTTCCTATGTAAAAAGATCCCAGATTTGCTTATTTCCCTTTATTTTGCATTCCACAAGGGAGTTTTGAAAGATATTTCTAAATGTTGACTCGCTGTTGTCATTTTGGAGCATGCAGGCCCGTGATTTGGTTTTTCCTAATAGGCCTAAACTGTGTTCGAGAACACAACCCAGTTACCTCTAGCACAGATGCAACCATCTGCAGCCATTTATAGAAATATTCATTCTCAATAAAGAAAGCAAGCAACAACAAAAAACTGTATCTGTACACACAACTAAATAGACTGAAATAGAATTGTTTGCTTTCTTTCTCTTGTATTTGCTTGATCTTTGAACAAACAGACACATCCTGTGTCTGTCTGTGCTTGTTTCTTCCAGGAAAAGCATCTGTTTGTGGCCTCAAATAACAGGCACAAGATTACATTTATAAATCTTTTAAAATTGATACAGATTTCTGAAGAACATAGTAAAGCTATGTAATATTTCTTTGACAGGTTTATGTGGCCCCTTTAACAAGCATGTTGCCACTCTTTGTGTTTGCCATAATCACTGTTTGGAATGCAATGTCCAGAAAAAATCTTCAGGTCTGCTTCATTTATGACATTTTCATTGCTTTCAATTCTCACTAATGATATAATACGCAGGTGTAGATTGTCAGATTCTGTCATATTTTTATCATTTGAGCTACGTATATGAAATTCAGATGAACGTCTTATAACCACCTTGTGGCAGGCCAGCTGTCATGAGGGTGGTGATGACACCTTGCGTGCCACTACAGACTCTTAAGACCTCTGTGGTGTTTGCCAGTCTCACGAGGTGCATTGGTGGAGGGCTGGGAGCCACGTTGTCACGTGGAGATAATTGAGTGTGTTTGGGATAAAGAGGGACTCGTGGTGGTTGTTGGTGTTGGGTTGTAGGAGAGCAGATTTTAGCGAGAGTAAAGACTTCTTTTCCTTGACATTCATTGTCCATTTTGAGTTCTGATGTGTTCAGGCACACACACCTTTACTGTTCCTTTTTCAAATTTAAAGTTGACCACATTAACGTTTTTTTTTTTCCCCTCCAACCACAAAGTCAGAAATAGATAGATATTGAAAGTGTCAGCAAACTTAACATATTTCAATCAGATGAGATTTCATAATGAGTTGATATTGTTGATTTGACTATTTTAAAATTGGAGACATTCAGGTAGTAGATAGAAAATGGGAATGCAATGTAAATTCACTTAATAGGTTACTGGGCCACCATGTGTAGCAAGTATAGCCTGGCACCATGGCTTAGAGTTTACCAGCATCTGGTAAAGGATATGCATATCACCCTTCTTAACAGCTTGGTAGTCAATTACCTGTGATCTTTGCATCACTGGACTTGCAAACAGGCACTGCCTGGTGTGATGAGCAGTTTGTGCAGCCTGACGCATCCTGCTCTGTGGAGTTCTCAGAGTATCATTTTTGATTAATAATAATAATAATTGCTTACACTTATTTAGCGCTTTTCTGGAGGGTAATAGGGACTAGGGAATAGGGTAATACAGGTAATAGGGACTCCCCTCCACCACCACCAATGTGCAGCACCACCTGGACACCACACATCAGCTATCAGTGGGGAGGAGAGCCAATGGGCCAATGGGAAATTTGGACAGGACGCCGGGGTTAGACCCCTTCTCTTTTTGAGAAACGCCCTGGGATTTTTTATGACCACAGAGAGTCAGGACCTCGGTTTTACATCTCATCCGAAAGACGCCTGTTTACAGTATAGTGTCCCCATCACTATACTGGGGCATTAGGACCCACATTGACCGCAGGGTGGCCCCACTAACACCTCTTCCAGCAGCAACCTTAGTTTTTCCAAGGAGGTCTCCCATCCAGGTACTGACCAGGCTCACACCTGCTTAGCTTCAGTGGGTTGCCAGTTGTGAGTTGCAGGGTGATATGACTGCTGGCATTAACCTGCTTATTTGCACCCCAGGTTTAAATTTCCAATCGACTGATCTGCAGTTGAGGGCAGTACAGTGGCAAAGTGGTTAGCATTGCTGCCTCGCAGCTCTGGAGCGCTGGGTTCGATTATGGACCTGTGGTGCTATCAGTGTGGATTTTGTTTGTTCTTCCCATGTTCTCATGGGCTTCCTCCCACAGTCCAAAGACATGCGATTGCGTGCATGTCTGTTTGTATTTGTGTGTGCCCTGAGATGGACTGACATCCCATCCAGGGTTATCCTGCCTTGTACTCATTGTTTGCCTAGCTCCGGCTTTGGCTGCCCTACGATCCTGTCGGATGAAAAGGTTAGAAAGTGGAAGATCTGAAGTTGCTCGCCTATTCTGCCTTGTTCTTTAAATGACTTTAGGGATATCCTGATCCTCGACTGGGGGCTTTCACCTGTTGTCCTTTATTGATGATGTCTTTGTCTTGGATTTCTATGCTGACATCACCTTTGGCACCACTGCAGCCCAACAATCTCCCCTCAAAGTCAAAGTCACTGAGGTCAGCCTTAATCATAAGTGTCCAACCTGTCCAGCATGTTCGTACATGGCCCTGCGCATGCTGAGATGGTATTTGCTAAATTAACACATGAGCCACAACTGTATGGAAGCCTTTGCTTTCAAAGTATTTGCAACATAAACTCGGTCAGGGAGTTAGGACTGGTGTTGGGTCTTATTTAGTCTGATATGATTTCCTGTCAGGTTTGCTTTTCTGTCTAGCAAAAAAGGCCTCTCTCTGTGTAACCCTGAGAGAGTCTTAGCTTTAATTTTTTTAATTCTGTGGTCAGTATATGATGAGAGGACCTTGTAGTTATTTCATTGCTGTTGTTCAACAAAGCTGTTTAACTGGAAGTAAAGTAATAGATATATTTCTGTGATTATGATGTATTAATTTGAATTATGCTGAACCACTAAGGGAAGAGTGATGATTCACAGATTATGTAGATGACTGGCTGCATGAAAGTTCTCTGCCGCTCATACTTGAAGGTGTCCATGATTTTATGACGTGTTTTTTAAACCAGTGCACATACTGTCTTGTTACACTGGGTCATGGGAAACCAGGGACACTATAAGCTTTATCAACATCAGATGTCAGCCCATTTTTCTCAACAAGCAAGACTGCAGCCGTTGGAGAAGTTAACTGCTTACACCCCTGTCTTAGAGACTTAGAGACTTCACTTTTTTTAGGATTTTAGGTTTTGCTGCTGTGAGTCTTTTAAAATGGCTATTAAAAAGCATTATTTAATTTCACCCAAATACATTTTATTTAGACAAAACTCTTAGACGAGACTCCTGGCAAAAATACTGCAGAACTATATGTTACACTTTTTATTTGTGGGACATTTGCAGTTCAATAAGAAAAATGTAAGTTTCTAATTGTTCTAAAGATGGGTGGAATGTTGTTAAATTAGCTCCTCTCAAGGTTGGCACTATTCAGTCTTCTAAACTTGGAGGCTTGTTGCTGTTCTCTTTCACACAAAACCATTTGCTGCAAATAAATCCCACATGCACTCAAGAAAAAAGAAGCTTTATTGCGACTAACGGGCAGTTTAAAGAATAGTTTCCCTTTTGAGGTTATATGAAGTATCGGTCTGCCTGGAGCCATAAACTGGCCGCATATCATTGGAGGCTGCATTCACAGCCAAAGTAAGCTGAAAAAGCTGAGCGAAAAACACGAGAATAGTTTCATCAGTATGATCAAATTAGTCAACTTTGTTTTGAAAGTCTTTCAAAAGCTTTATAACTTTTACTCTTACACTTCTTATAAAGACCCTCATTTTCAGTAACTTTAGCGGAGGCATGTTAGTTTAATGTCAGTGAGCTATAAGGTTTGTCATTGTAGTTTCAGTTTAATATATAATATGTCCAATTGCTTTTATATTGTATCTGAAATATTTCTTTGTTTATCTAATTCTATGTAACAGAAAACAAGTGAACGCTACTTGTATTCTATCTGTTAAGTTTCACAAGCACTTCAAGAGTGTTAAGAAGTGTTCCTGGCAGCGTTGATGACTTAGAAATAAATAACGCTTCTACAAGCACTTCATGGGAACAAACCCAGTCTGGTGGTTCTTGATATACAGATTGTTACACTGATGTGCTCTGTCAGCTTGGCTTGAAAGGAAACCAGTGAAGCCACTGATTTTTAAAGTCAGCTGAGCTATTGCTTATCTAAGCTGCTAGTGTTTCAACAGTGTCCGCTTTCAAGACCGAGTTTGGCAGAGTACATCAAAATCAGACAGAATAGATAGATTTTAATCTTCAGATCTGACTACAAAGCCAGTCATATAGAGAACAGAAAAGGGATGAGAATAGGTACAATTCTATACATGTTTAATGTTTTTTTGTCATTTTTAGTCCAGAGATGAAAGTGCAACAAATCAAGGCACATCAAGTCAACTTTGATTTAGAAGTCCTTACTAGGCATTTCATCATTAAACCATCTTTATTGATTGTTTGATGGTCTTTGCTTTACTTTTGGTGCCTGGGACTGTTCAAAATTCTCTTTCAGTACAGGAACATCAAAACCATAAGCAACAAGAGGGTGTTATTTGACACATCCATTTCATTGTTTTATTTTAATAGCTAATTGATCTGAGCATCTTATCCAGTCTTTGATAGAAGCCAGGATATCAGCTTCAGCAACGTGACTAGATAGCTTGTTTGACACTTCCACAATCCTTTGTCTAAAAACGTGCCTCCTGTTCTCAGTTTTAAATGTATTTCCTTGAAGTGTTGCCCTCTGGTTTTTATATCACTGTCAGGTTTAAAGAAGCCCAATGAAAAAAACTCCTTTTTGCCTGTCAGTGTAGGGCATTTCTTTGAAACCAGTAATATGTTTAGTGGTTCTTCTCTGAACTGATTCCCCACTGTATTGTGGTGACTATAGAATTGTATAGTAGGTGGAGTTTATTTTTATTTTAACATAACGTCCCTTGGTACAGTTTTTCACTTTTAACAATGCATCCTAAAATGTACTTTTTTGTAGCTTTTATATTTCTTACTTGAATCATAAGTGTTCCTGTTGACCCACTCTCTCTTTGAGGCTAGAGGGCTGGAGAACATGGCTGATCACAGACTCTTGTTCACATTATACTGAAATGCGGATGCTGTTTACCTCCACATTTCCAGACAATAACTGATCTTCAGCCTGTCTTATGGACTCTGGCCACCACAGCATTCATCTAAATTACACTACAAGTTCCGGAGTTGTTCTCAATATTGTGTTGGAAATGTTGCTCTTATGGATATTTTTATAGCAAGCTAGGTAAGTATTTTTATTAAGCTAAAAACTGGATAGTTTACATTAGTTTGTTCCTATGTGTTATATGTTGAAAGTTTGTCTTGAATGACATAATTAGCACTCCACATATGTGAGTGTGTCTAATTTATCTGCTTCCAGCAGCCTGTAATTCGCCAGTTATAAATTTGAAATGGGACCAAACTAATGATGAATGAGTCACATTTCCATGACAACTTCACAAACAAAAACAGGTTTACCTTATCTCTTAATTTCAGTAAGAGATATGATCACCCTAATGAACAAATAACCCTGCAAGGAGTCATCTCCCTCAAAATAGCAGCAGTAATGTGTTAGGATGGGTTTTTGACCTGGTGGGGTTGCTGGATTAAGGCCATGTTTCCAGTCTCCATGAGAAGGAACTGTGGACGGGATACAGCAGGATAATTGTTCTATAAATGGCTGGCAGGAAATGGACATACGTGCGTAATTGGGGGTTTGGTTTGATAATTTTAGTACTCCATGTGAGCTGTAGAAGTATCTTATTTTCCATGTTTCAGGACCTGCGCACATTGATGGACACCAAGAAGCATAAGGTGTAGCTGATAAATTCCAAAAAAGCAACAATCGCAGCTTTAGAGCATCTGCTTTTTTCAGATTTAGGCTGTGGTGGCCTGAGAAAATGTGAAGGCTGAAAGTGTAGTTATTGTATGGATGAACTTAATTAAATCAAGAGTTTTAAGGAGAGGGTGCTTTTTTGTTGTGTGTTTAGCTATTTATCATAAAAAAAAAACATTAACAGCCAACATGAAGCAGCATACCGACCTTTGCCTGCAAACCTAAGTTTTATTCTATAATAAAAGTGTTGTAGTTGTGAAATTACAAAGCTGTATACAGATATCAGAAAAAAACTGCCTTATATAAAGACATTTAGCCCATAACAGCTTCCCTGTAATCAATGTGTTTAGTGAGATCTATGACACTTAAGTGCCTATTTAACTGGGATTTCAAGTTTACAGAAACTTTCCAGTCTAAAACAATGTGGGCAGTCGCTCTGCTATAAATGGTGACACTGTTCAGAATGCTGTAGTTAAAATGAAGAGGGAAATAAAAATCATTTCCGAGCTTAAAAGCGGTGTGTATCGAGTTTTTGGTCATTAGCTATCCTTAACATTTTTAGTGTCCTGCCTCGGCGTGACAAGGATGTGCCTCTCTCTTGACAGGAGAGCGGGAAGCCAGGCTCGAGCGGCTACAGAGGCTGATGGAGTCGGCCAACCTCGGGACAGGCGTCCACTTCGAGATGGCCTCCTTCGTGGACAAGGGATTGCTGGAGGAGCTGCTGGACAGGGTGCTGCCCTACGCGGACTCTCTGGGCATGAACGAGCAGGAGCTGCCCAACCTGCTGAGCCTGATGAAGGGGGGCAACGTCACCGTGCTCTCGGACCCCAACCCCCGCGTGGCCACGGTGCTGGACCAGATGAGGGAGCTGTACCGGCTGGTGAATGCCCAGCACTCCCGGCAGGGCAGGGGGCGTGCGCTCACCCGGCTGCACGTGCACACCCTGGCCTTCCAGGCCATCATCGTCACCAAGGGCTCCTCCTGGAAGAACACCATGTCCGCCACGGCCAAGGCCTCGCTCACCGCCAACCGCCACGTGTGCGGCTCCCCCGACATCAACCCCAGCAAGGCCAAGCTCATCATGGACGACTCGTTCTCCATCAGCCGGAAGGAAGGCAGCCAGAGGATGCCCTTCCAGGAGACCAAGCCTGTGTCCTGCTGGGACGAGGCGGACTACGAGATCTGCGTGGCGCCGGTGCTGGTCTGCACGGAGGTCTATCAGACCGCCGGGGGAGGGGACAATATATCGGCAGCTGGCCTGGTGCTTCAGATATGACCAGAAAAGACACTCGGGCCGTTAGAGTTTTATTCAATTGATGAAATAGTTCCCATATCATGTGAAGAACTTTTATCTGTTTTTTATTAATTTGTGAACCGGATTCAGGTAGTGCAATACAGGGGTCTAGTTTGTTTTCTTTGCATTTTCGTTTATGTATTGTATTTGGCAACTGTGAAGCCTTTTCTTTCCTCAAACGTCACTTTTCAGTGCAACCATAAGGAACGCTTGGCCTCACCCCAATTGGTTGTGGGGTTGTGGAAGATAAATTTAAACATTTTTTTCTGAAGCCAGGTTGTGGCCCTGATGACAGTGACTGAACATCTGAAGAGTCTTTCGATAGCCAGAGTTGTGAAGATGCTAAAGGGGTCACGAGCAAATGATGGCTATAATTTTATATAAATGACGGATTTTGTCATGTTTTATCACTTAACTGTGAATTAATCTTCACAACAGTGACAAATACTGTGGTCATCACAGTGTTAGATAAGGCCTTCACTATGCCTTCCACTTTTTAGAAGGTACCAAGGATATGATATGGTGAAGATGCACACATTCTGAATAAGGCTTCTTTGAAAGGCTCCTCCTTATTGTAACCTGCCTATTCCATCATTCAAAGGGTTGTTACAAACCTATTAATATAATAATATACACCTGTGTTAACTTGCAGGATCCCAAACGATTAATCATTTTCCCAAAAATATTTTTGTTGTGTGCAATTGTGAATGATTCAGACATGTTGAACATCATAAATGTGAACATCCCTGCTATTTCTATTTCTATTGAGAAAGCTATTGAGTGCTTTCTGAAATGGCCAAATACATCATAGAATGTGGCCTTGTGATGTCTAGTGCAGATGCCACAGATCTAATTATACGGCCATTTAGAAAATGTATGTGTTCATTAAATCAAGTGACAACGGTGTACAGACAACTAGATGGACTGTAGTTTGTTTATCTACTGTTTGCTTCACTGTTGTATCAACAAACACATCATGTTTGCTAATCAGGTTAAGTCATTTGGGGATCCTGACAGGTAAAATAAGGCATTGTATACAATATTGATAGGTTTCTAGCAGTCTCTAAGTGTGGATGTTCTTTTACATATCATGGTCTTCTTATGCATGTTGTTTTCATTTTAAAGCATGTTTTTGTGATTAAGAAACACAGGTAATTACCTCTGAAAAGTGACCCTTGGAATGATCAGAGAGCAGAATTGCGTCAACAATTAAAGTGTCTGTTCCCGGAAGATTCCTTCCAAAAGGTCATTTTACCCCTCCCCATCTTTCCAGTCTTTCAGCATCTTGAAATCCATGTTAATTGTTCATTGTTTCTGTTTTCTTCTATTGCAAGACCTCTGCAGAAACCGGCCAATGCAAGCATTCAATGTATCCTGCTGTTGTGTCGAGCCTTTTCTTTTCATCGTCTAATTGTTTTTAATAGCCACTTATCCAATTCAGGTTAACTGTGGCTTGGAGCCTATCGTGGGAAGCATTGGGCGCAAGGCGGGATACACCCTGGATGGGATGCCAGTCCCATCACAAGGCACACACTCGCACCAGGAGTGGACTGTGCTGGACTGTGGGAGGAAGCCACATGTCCATATCTCCATGGAGACAGCACCCCAGGTCCAGAACTGAACGCAGGGCCTCTGCACTGCGAGGCAGAAATACTGACCAAAGTGCCACTGTGCCGCCTACCTTTTCTTGTAATGTTTCTTATTTTACTTCTAAATATTTTTATTTTATTTTTTCCCCATTGCCAGGTACAGAGAATGCTGTCAAGTGTAGGGTAGGAAAGAGTATTTCAGATAAGTGAATTTCTTTAGTCTGTTAAGGGAGTGTGAGTTTATTGCTTTCTTTCTTGGAAGGAGATGGGGTTTGTGTCTTGAAAAATCCTGTATATGAACTGAATATCCTTTTCAAACACCAGGCAGTGAAAATGCAGAATATGAAGTATTCAAAGAATATTTATTTTACATTAAATCTTTTAAGTGCAATTGTTCCAAAAAGCACATATATGATGTTCCCAAAGCAAGAATTGTTCAAGTCAAGTTTTGTTCAAAAACTGCAGTTTGTTTAAAAGAAATCTGTAAAGATGCCAGGGCATATCTTGATCTTAAGAAAGTGAATCTCTAAAAAGTCTTCCTGTGCCTAGTAGTTTTACTGTAATGCAGAAATCAATAAATTATGAAGTACACAAATTATTATGCAGAGAAGATTAAATGACTCTTTGCAGGACGAAGAGATATTTGCAGAAAAGATCTGACCAGAAGAGAACAGAGTACCGTGGCACCCTAAATTTTGCTGTTCTGATATCAAGTGACTGGTACAAGTTAGTGAATTTCAAAAACAGGTGGGAAGAATTGTCCTTTTCCTGAGGTGCAGAGCATAATGAGGTCCAGACACAGTGAGCCTTAGTATGACTAAACAGCCCTCCACCTACCACCATTACCAGTAGATAAGATTGTTCCGTGGAATTAAGAGCATAATCTTAGTCAACTTCTTTATTGTATCAAAGTAGACAGGGTTTTTTAAATGGGGACAGATTAATTTTTTTCCAAATGGGATTTATTACAGGCCCTCTACAATAAAAATATTTTGGGTCCCCTATTGATTTTTTAACCAGCATGTTTAATGTGGCCTCCCCTTTTAAGTAAACTTTCTTACATTCTTAAAACAAAGTTTAAATTGTGGATGGTGATTTTGTTGGATTAGTTTTTCTTCACAGCAGGGAGGTTCTTTTGGGAGCCAAAAAATAAGAATTGGTGAAATTCCTGAAGGTTTTAACCAGCAGGCTGCTCACAAGGAGTTAGGGTGAGACCTACAGTGCAGGCGTCAGAGGCTTGAGCCTGGGCAATGTTGTGAGCTGATTAAGTGGGGGGACACGAGTGGCAGCTACAGTGAAAAGTATTTCTGTTGGGACAGTGAAGTGAAATTGGTCATTTTTGCAGTGTACTAGTAGAATTTGTATTTCAGATCAAAAGTTAAATTAGAGGCGAAGGTACCAGAAGGTTTTATTTTTGTATATTTATATGCATACATGTTAAGCCATGATAGAACCAAAAATGTTCTGTGTCAATTCCCGCCACTTTCAGGAGAATCATGACAAATTGACAAAAATCATGACAAAAAATGAACTAGTGTAAATGTAGTATTTGGTTATATACTGCACCCCTTACATGCAATGACTGCTTCATGTCTGTGACTCACTGATATCACCAGACAATTGATACAGTATATTAATTTGTGATGCTCTGGACCACTTTCAGTTGTTGCCTTTTTCTGTTTTTCTGACTTAGTTTAGTCTTCCACACGTAAAATGCACACTCAATATCAGGAGACTGGTTTGTCCAGTTTCCACTTCTTCCTCCTGATGAACTCCTTTGATAAGTTTGTTTTGGGTCATTATCTTGCTGCAGGGTGAATTGCTGCTCATCAAGTTTGGAGCTATTTTTTGGAACTGGTCGTACAAGATATTTCTGTACCCTTCAGAATACATTCTGCTGCCATCATCATTTACATTATCGATAAAGGCCAGTGAGACAGTTCTAGAGGCAGTCGTGCACGCCCAAGCCAAGACGTTACCTCCACCGTACTTATTTTCAGTTTCTAATCTGGCCTTTCTGTTTTTAGAGCTAATAAGAAGTGTAGCCCTTGTGATAATGAGATACTTTCACCTCTGCTCACAGGAGATTGTCTTTATCTTCCTTTATACCTCCTCACTCAAGAGGCAGGCCCAAAATGTAAAGTGCAAGGCTGCACATTCACAGCTCTTTTATGTTTTCACAATTAGTGCAACATACAATGCCTGAGCAATCAGAAACACCTGTCAGCTGTTTGTCCCAATACTTATGCTCACCTGAAATGGGGGAAATGAACACAACAAATGACATTGTTCTAACGTGTGCTAAACATGTCTCCAAATAATAATACCCTGTAACAGAAGATAAAATTGTCAGGCTCATTCCTGCTGGAATGCTGTGGCGAGAGCTGGGGTTTGCCATAGTAGCTGGCCCCACCTCTACTAACCTGTTCCCCTCACAAGAAATCTGTATCGCCTGCAGGCAATTTACATCCATTTCTGCATCTGGTAGTGCAGAATACTTAAGTGTGTAATATATGCGTGTTCATTTTCAGGTCAGTTCGACCAACACTCAAGGTTTTGGTGTAAGAGTTTAGCTTTGTGATTGAGTCTGCTTTATGAATTTTGCTTGGAGACCTTCGAGTCTGTAATTTCTGTGTCTCCTGTCTTGTGCTTATTTGGATTCCTGACCTTGCTTTGTTCTCGACCACATCTCTGATCACTGGCTGTGCTGGTTGCTCTCTGTGGTGTTTATCTTGATTTGGACCCTGTCTTGCTTTGATCTAGTCTCTGGACATTCACTTTGTGCTTTGCTAGTGTCTTCCTTGGTCCCGGACCACAGACCCTGGACAGTGTTTGCCTGCATCATCCTCTACCTGAATGATGACCATTGCTCTACCTGTGTCAGCACTCTGCCTGCAGTTTCCCTGTGCCGACTCTCTCTCGCCCAGCATGTGTGTTCATCTTAAATCTGTGCTTACATCCATCAATGGATTATGAAAGAACTTCTGTACATTTGCCCCATAGTAATCTTTTAAACTGAAATACAGATTCCATTAGTGCACAGCAGCAATGACAGTAAAGTGAAATTTGTCCCAATAACACTTTTCACTGCATCTGGAAGAGAACAGGAGGCAGTTCTTTACATAAAGGGATGTGGTAGTATGGAGTGAGATACTGTACTCAACTATGTTGTAAAATGTAAAATGCTGTCTCCTTTCAAGAAACAGCTGGATGAGATCCTCTGCTCAATTTACTATTACCCAATGAGCCAGATGGGCCATATGCCATTATTCCGCCATTTGGTATTAAATCTGCTGTAGGGTCTGCAGTGTGGAAATGGCAGGAGAAGACTTGCACAGTCCAAACCTTTCCTGTTGGCAAAAGGTCACGGCTTCATGCAAGGTTTGGTAATTGTAGACTACTCTACAGCAGAGGGTATAAAAACAATGTGTGTTAAACTTTTTTGAAACCTCAGTTAAGCAAAGCAATTAAACCAGCTTCCAGGGCAGAGATGTTAAACGTGTTTTTATTAATCACTGCAAAGACAAAGAATACAGCTGTTTCAAGATGATTTTCTCATAACACCACAGAATTATCTAGTTTTCCTACCTATGTTGACGGATAGGTAATGCCACTATGGGAACTGGATTCTTTAATGATCTCCTTCCTGTAGGTCCTACTAAGGCATAATGAGGTGGCATAACAATGTGGACTTTGGTAGGACATTTACAGAATACTAAAAAGTTGATAGAACTGGAGGCAATTAAAACGCAATTTATCTTTGTGTACTTGACGATAATGCTGGCTGGTTTTTCTAAGTTTTCAGACTATGGTGGCAAGATATTAATCACAAACCTACTTTGATATAAACAATTTATTAAGGCAGTAGCTGACAGCCTGTGGAGGAGTGCCTCACCAAATTTAGGAAAGGGATTAAAGGAGCAGGTGATTAAATAACAAACCTGACATGTCTGTAATCAATTTCACTTTGGGATCAATAAAGTGTTATCTATCTAATGGAGGAGTATGAATCAAATGTTTAGCTGAAATTTGGCCTACTGCCTGCACCAATCTCTAATAATCTATAAAACTTGCTATACCAGTATTTGGATCTATAAAGGCATCTATTTCTGAACAAGGTTTTACAGTTAAAACTCTGCTTCTATTTCAACATGTTTTAACACTTTTATTTTGTCACAGTTAACCACAATAGTGGTTAAAGCAAAGCAACTAAAAGCAAAGAAAATTCAAAACGGAATATTTGTCTCACATTTGATTAAACCACTTAAAACAAATCAATACTTAAATATCTGAACAACAATTCACAGCATAAAATCAGCCTTTTTGCAGGTGGTTAAAAAGTTAAGGTTTAAATGTGTAGGATTTAGTCAAAATCTCTTGCACGTCTTAAGACAGTACTCAGGAGTCAACTTCTGTACCGTTGTACTACAGATATGAACTTTAGTGGCTGTAGTTCTAAAGCTTGCACATCGAATTCTGTTTCTTTTTGTATGATGGAAAGTAAAAAAAAAAACTCCTCCTAGTTATTCCAGCTTTCAAAAAGTTACCCAAAAGCCATTCTGACTTTGTGTCAGATGGTAATTCTAAGCCTCAAGCTGCTGAAGAATTTTGCTCCTTCTTCTACAGGGCATTCACTTGTTTCCACATGAAATTCAATTCAAAAGTTCTTAATTTAGAGAAAGAGAAGGAAATGTTTAATACTTGCATCCCTTGCAGTAAACATACTGTATGCTATATGTTTACAATAAAACACTAAAAACTAAACACATTTCATCTCTTACAGATCTGAACAACAGATGAGTCCAGTGCCTTTTTATGTTTTTTTAAAAAGCAATATATTCAGTAATCCCTGCCAAGCTACATTGAGCATTGTGATTATTGCTTTTAAAGGTGCTATATCAAATATTTAGTTATATTAAGTTTATTGCTTAACCTTTCCAGATTAACAAGTTTAATTCATGATATATTGCATATGACAAGTTCCCCTAAACTTTTATTTTGACCCATTTAGAATATGTGGCATTTTGTTAATGACAGAACGTGATCTGTAAACTCATGATCTAAAAGCTCCTAGACACCCCCTGGTGGCCAGCAATGCCATGTCTCTAAAGCCTAGTCAAAGGAGGCTGGTGTTTGTTGTGGAGGAGTGTCTGTGAAATCGAGAAAGTTAGGGCCTTGTAGTGGTTCATCTGAGACGAGTCGTGTGCTGGCTAACAGACCTATGGGACTAAGCAAGCTATGAGGTAACTTAAGAAGGCATAGAAAATGCTGTACTGAAGTGTTACAGTCCTGAATGGCAGGTTGCATAGTAACTTGTCAGGTCCTGTGCTAGAGAAACAGGGAAGGATTACTGCGCCAGGGCTGACAGGAGGGGTGGTAGTGTATAATATTCCATGTAATGTAATGTAATCTGTGCACAGATGAGAGAGCAACAGTTTAGACAATAGAGAAAATCATACCGAAGTGTCCAAACTGCTGCAGACAGATGGGCAGTCCTGGGAAAATAAGAAGACGTGTAAACCTCATGGACTGAATCATGAGCATTATGCCATGCTATGGCTAGTGAAGAGAGAACAAGAGCTGGGTGCTAAGGTTTAAGTCTGACTGAAAGCACCTAATTGTCACGGCAACAATTTATTTCACTTCTCGACTGATCTACTCTGTAGTCCAGCTGCTAGGGCAGAATGACTGCTGTGTACAACCCAGGTCGGTCTGCACTTGAAGGGTGTGTTGGGTCCCTTCTTCTCTTACTGACATGCCCATTGTTGAGTTGTCTCCACAGCGCACACACTGTGAGCTCAACTGTGCCTTGATGGAGGGTGATAGGCTAATTAGAGGATTGAAGACTGGAAACTTTGGAGCTTCCCAGCAAGGTTCAGAAGTCACTGTGGCAAGGCTAGCTGGAGACACTCTTGATCATCTCACCAGTTCACTGACATTTGTTATTAATCAAGAACTCCAGTGCATCTTTACTAACAGAGCCCTAATGGGAAAATGTTTCACTATTTTGTTCTAATTTTTACTAATCCGTTTGAAACTTAATGTTATATCTTACTGTTGTAGTGTATAGGTTTATGTTCTATTATGACCTGTGTTTGGAAAGTGGTTTAAGATCGTTCTCGCCACCAAAGGAGAGCTTTATAAAAGAGTACTCAATGGATAGATATATCTTGTGATTCGTAACTCATAAAAAAGCAGAAATCACCCCTCCCTCCTAGGAAAAAGAATATCATTAATGTTTTATGATTATATTATTAATTATCAGAAACAATGATATAATTAAAAAACACATTACTTTCCCAGATTAGTTTTTGATTGCTTGAAGAAAAGCTTTTCTGTACTGCATTCTTAAGGGTTCATACAAAATAAGAGACCTGTGAGTATTAAATATGCAGAATGCCTCCATCTCAATTTACAAAATGGGATCTGACTTTAAAAAAAAATAAATTTAGAAAACCATAAGTGCATCCATTGCACTGATGCTGTATTCATCCTTACAGTACCGAGAC